GGGGTTTTTTTTTTTCCCTTTTCCCCCCCTCCCAAATTTCCCCCCCCCCCCTGTTTGTTTTTTTGTTTTTTTTTTTTTTTTTTTTTTTTTTTTTTTTTTTTTTTTTTACCAGTATAGGTCTATTTAAAGTACACAGCACTAGATGGTCCGATTAATCAAACCAAATATTACATTTTGGAATGATAAAGGTTTTCATACTGATCTTGTGTATCAGTATGAGATCAGTATCAGGTGTAATAAAGTACCCGATTCACTCAGAACATCATAGGATGAGATTTAACCAATGTTTTTGAGAAAACTACAAAACTTTTTTTTTTTTTTGTTCTCATAAAGAGACTAATGTTAGAGATTACACATTTGTTTTAAATAGGCCTGCAAACTTTCTGGGATATTTAAAATTTTCTACAGGAATATTGCTTTTATGGTTTCACACATGGAATAAATCTTTCACAAATCCCAAAGCGAGTTTTTAAGGAATCACTGTTCAGGATAGAATTACACAGATGTAAATCTTTTAGATTTTTAACCAGGGTCAATAAAATGCAGCTCATATTTGCTAAGGCTCTAACTCCATGGTCGTTTTCCAGATGTGTTGCCGCTTTATTTGTTTTGTATTCTCCCACATACTTAAAACACATAGACAACAATCTGGGTGAGATTTTTTTTTTTGCTTTGAGATTTTTATATCAAAGCAATATTGATATAAAAAATATTATATCGTCCTCAAACAAAATATTCGTTTGAGGACGAATATTTCCTGAGATGTCACAGTCTTTTTTTTTTTTTTTTCGTCAATAGTCTCCTTAAGCTCAGTTTTCTAATGCATCATGTCAGCATCTACTTGCTCCCTCCCTCTTTCTTTAGAACAACACTGATGTTTTCTTCTTACCTCTTCCTCTTGTCTCTATTTCCACGGTTTTCTCCTCCCATCCCTCCACTGTATTTTTATTTTGTATTGTGCTCATGAACAGTGTTTGACTATCATTTTGGGTTTTTTTTTGCCTTTATTCAGTCTTGACCTCTCTGAACTCGCAAAGGCTGCCAAGAAGAAGCTGCAAGCTGTAAGTTTTATTTTGAATAGTTGTATCGCTAATAAAACATTTATAGTTAAAAAATACACAATGAAAGGCATCATCATCATTTTTGTCATTGTTTAACATTGAAAATTGTAGTTCAGTATTTGTGGATTTAGCTAGTTGCTGATTTATTTTTTCATATATCTAAAATATACCAAGAAAAATGTGTCTAGGGAAACTCAAATACTTGACACCCTATTGGCTGGCATTTGTGAGGCAGCCAATCCAGGAACAGTATTAGTTGTCCTTTATGTTTGTTTTTTTTTTTGTTTTTATTTTGGCCAAGAGCAGATACGAGAGAGTATACTCAGTAGTCTGGGATTTAGTAAATAGATTTAATTTTAGCAAACCTAAACTGACCAGAAACGAGTGAAGTTCAATTTGATTTGATGTCAAACTGTGAGGGGGGCGGGGGGCGGGGGGGGATTATCACTGTTATGAAATAAAGACTTTTGTTGAAGGAAAAACAAATGCACATATTGTTGCACCTCATTTTTGCTTCCATACCAAAAAATGTTTTCCTATTGAGCTCCGTCTGTGAAGGCTTGTGGTTTGCTAGTAATGAAGCCTAATAAATCCTACCCCGGCGTTTCCATTTGACGTATTCTAACTGACATTTAACATTTTATTGGCAACTTGTTTCTGTGTCGCAGCTCAACAACCGGTTGTTTGAAGAACTAGCTATGGATGTGTATGATGAGGTGGATCGCAGGGAAAACGATGCAGGTGAGTGCTGTCCTTCGTCACTAATCTGTTTTCATCTTCAGTAACATGGGAATTTAAATACCCGTGGGCAGTTATGGCAACAAAACTGAACTTGAAAGTAAGCATTCATAGGGTGGTAACGTTGGTTTGAAATTTTTTTTATTATTATTATACAAATGCACTTCATAATTTAATCACTTTTATCAAAAACAGCTTGCCAACTAGGTCAAGCCTTATCAGCTGCTTTTTTTAAAATGGAGTGAGAGTTGTTGTTGGTGCCTCTTCTGGGCTTTAAACTAACTTTATGAACTGGAGCGCTTAACTCAAAATGCTAGTTGGGTGCACCAAAGTTTACAGCTGCATTGCTTTTAACAGTGTCCTACCCTTAAGTTTCCATAAGTTGCCCATCCTTGCTTTTTGTGATATTTCTAGACAGCTAAATTGTTGATTTTGTATATGTAGAATATAGAAATGCAATAACATTCTTTGAGCAGTTTCTCCCATAAATCTCCAAACTTTCCTCCGTTGAACCAGTGAGACAGAAAATGGCTTTTGTTTTTCTTTTAAAAATCTCAGACACCTGTGCCTCGTTGAAAGTATAAAAATACCTCCAGTCCATCGACTTATCTGGCTAGAAGGAACAAAAAATGGAGAGAATGAAAAAGCCTTACTGCAGCAGGGAGGGATCTGGTAGGACGGGATGAGGAAGAGGGAAAAGCGCTTCTTGGAGAGGAAGGCCAAATGTGGCGAAGGCAGGAGGAGAGTCGGAGCACGGAAGTGGCTCTCTCCTCCTCTTCCTACACCCTCTCTTTTTTCTTTTTTTTTTTTCTTTTGGCTGCTTCTTCTTTCAGTAACAGAAATAAAATATTCTGACTGAGAAAGCTGCAGGTAAGTGTCTCAAATACACACTCACACACTTTAATCTGCACAGAGTGAGCCAACCTGCACACCAGTGTGTTAAATTGAGATTTCGGGTGTTCTCTACACTTTTTCCTAAACTCTGTTTATGTCTCCGTATCCGTGTGGGTGGCAGGACTGTGAGTTTGATGTGGGTGGCTGCGCATGCGTGAGCTGATTTGACCTTGTTGTTTTAATACACACACTTATTTGTGTGTTTTCCTTATTGTCTGCAGTGTGGTTGACGACGCAGAACCACAGCACTCTGGTAACAGAACGGAGCGCCGTGCCGTTCCTGCCGGTCAATCCTGAATACTCTGCCACAAGAAACCAGGTAAACACCCGACACACACTCAACTGCACACGCATGCACGTGCAGACGGAGAGTTTCTAGAAGAGGTCAGAAAGAGGAAACTGGGGGGAAAAGTTCTTGGAGCTGATGTGGGCAGTGTATTTTTAAAGCTGGTTTTAGAGAGCGAAAAAATCTTTTCCTTTTCGTTCTTAAAGGAATCCCAAATGTCTGCTCATGCGATGGTTTTTCCAGCATTTGAAAAAGAAAATGACCTTTCCTGTGTGTTCTGGGTCTGTTTTTCTGTTCCGTATCTTAGCTCTACTTGGATCACAATGCTTGAAACTGTCCACTTTACTGTCTCCTGCAAATGCCAGCGAGCTTACCTAATTGCAGGGTTTACATGCGTTTGCGCATAATTGTTTCTCTGTTAGCCTAGTTACCATAGTGTATATGTGCGCTTGTGTGTGTGTTGTATGACCATATTTTTCCACAACACATGGTAGCTGACCACAGGAGTCACTCAGACAGAGCTGCTGGCTGTGGTCTGCATAGTGGATCTATGTGCATTTGACTGACTCTTAGGAGGCCGTTGCGATGTGAGTGAATGTGTGCGCGCGTATGCTCATCACTGTTTCTTCATCAGGGTCGTCAGAAGCTGGCTCGTTTCAACGCTCGGGAGTTCGCCACACTCATCATTGACATCCTGAGTGACGCCAAGCGGAGACAGCAGGGAAAAGGACTCAGCAGTCCTACTGGTGAGACGGAGACAAAAAGTAACACAGGAAAGATTTTAAATACATGAAGGCTAAATAGATGTATGCAGACAAAGTATTGTGACCACAGCAACAGAAATAATCTGTACTTGTTTTGCACTATTTATGTCATGTATTTTGTTAGCAGGATTATTTACAATGATCCCAGGAAAGACAGAACTGCTCTGATGAACACTGCTCTCTGTCCCTCAGATCCACTGGACCTGGGCATCGATGATGATGAGCACGACTACGATAATGTAGCTTCTGATGAAGACACGGACAGCGAGCTGACCACCCAGAACAACAACAACACACAACGCAGCAACCGTGCAAAGGTAGAAAACACACACACACACACACCTACACACACACACACACACCTACACACACACACACACACACACACACACGTTCTCACTTGTCTTTTTGTCCTCCAGTTATGCCACGGTATTTCTAGTCCAAAAGTTACACCACTTTGGTCAGAAATTATGTTGCCACCAAATAAATTTTGGTCCATGAATCAGGGCTAGCCAAGCACAAACGTTTAGGACCGTTTTTGTTTCACTCAATTCACTTTCATCATCGTTGCCTGGATAAAAACGTATTGAAGAGGAATCTGGCACATTTAACCGTTTGTGCTGCAGCAGCTTCACTGAGAGTTGTGACACTAAACACAGCTGGCTAAATGTGCCGCTAACGGCGCCGGAGTTGGCCTCTGCTTCAGAGATCTGTATCGATTTTAAACTAAAGGGCGATTTCACATATTATTTGTTTTTAAAAAAAATCTGGACGACATTTGTCCTTAAGATTTAAAATCCATACATTTGTCCAATCTGAACCTTGATTAAAAGAGAATCTATAAACTCTGTTTTTCATTTGTGAAACATAAATAGTATTTATTTTGTTTGGTTTTCTATATATCATAGACTGAGTAAAGTATAAAAACTGGTACTTAAACGTTCAATTTTTTAAAATGTTCAGAAATTTGGGATTTGTTAAACGTTTACTCAGAGAAAACAACAAAAATTTAAATTCTTAGTTTCTACAAAGACTCTTGCATCGTTTTGAAATACTAATGTTAAGAATTCAGCCATTCACTTGGTTTCTATGAGAAAAGGAGGTCAAACACCTTTGTCGTCTGTGAGGGAATTTGCCGCACTCTGGATTCGGTCATAGCTTCTGGGTGACATCATCAGCTATTCTGAGTCCGTCAGTGGGGTATTGTTCATGCAACGAGAGTGTGTGTAGCTGCATGGTTGGAGAGGAGGAGGCAGGGAACAATATGATGAGAGAAAATGATGTGGAAATGAGAAGGTCGGGTGGCTAATCTGGTGTCCGTTAAATGGCTGCGGACAGCAGTGTTTGGAAGTCGTAACTGCTTTAGTTGCAGGGAGTGGAAGAGGGCTGAATACGAGCCTGCTTCAGGGTCACAGGAAGTGGGGGAGGATGGCGAGCAGAGAGCCAGAACTAAGGCTCCACTGTCTGATCTGGACGGCAAGCCAGCCCTCTTCCTCTCACACAGCTGCACACTCTGTTTACAATTAGCATAAAGAGGACATCTTTAGTCTGATCAGTTCATAAAATGTTGGGATTTCATTTTCACTGCTGCGAAGCCTTTCAAAAAACATAACGGACAAGTTAAAATCCTCTTTAAATGGGGAACAAAAATAAGGTGCAACACAAAGTATTAATCTTTTTGGCTTTAATTTAATTTGATATTGAATCTGATCCTAAACTTCCAGTGAGTTTCACTGTGAAGCAGACTTGGGCGGGCCCTTCTGTTGCCCTTCTGTTGCAGAAGGGCAACAGAAGGGCTCACTTTTGCTAAATAAAGCAAAAGTGAGCCATATCCTGTTCTTGTCGCTGAAAATACACAGCCAAAAAAAGACGCAGACAAAGATAAATTTAGAACATTGTATGCAATTATACATTTTTTTGTTGTTGTCCTGCATAAAACCGCAAAACTTTGTTTTGAATCTGCAACGGCTTGTTGACTTTAGGCTTTAAGCATTTGTTTAGTTCATTGTTGAGCTAGGAAGAACAAACATGTTTAATAATTTCCAGTTTGTTCTTGTTTATCTTTAAAAATATACATATAAAGCATCACAGATTTGCACTGTAAGCGGAAAAAATATGACGATTTCTCACATTCAGCTCAAGTTTTATGTAAGCAAGTTTTAAAATCCTCACCAGTCTCTGTCTCCCTCTTCCTACCACCCAGAGCATGGACTCCTCTGACCTGTCCGACGGCCCCATCACCCTGCAGGAGTATCTGGAGGTAAAGAAGGCCCTGGCCTCCTCAGAAGCCAAGGTGCAGCAGCTGATGAAGGTCAACAACAACCTGAGCGAAGAGGTCCGGCGGCTGCAGAAGGAGGTATGGCAGAAGGTTCAGAGATCAATTAGACAAGTGAGAGCACAGAGTATGCATTAAAGGGACAGTGCAGATTTTGTGGAACCAAGGTTATCAGTAGCAGCTTCCTTTCTTGTAGTAAACACACATCACATCACAGAAAGGCACCAGGCTAACAGCAGACAGATTTGCCACAGATACGAACATTTTCTGTTATTTTTAAATGGGATGTAATGCTGATAACTTCACAAAACTTTATCTTATAAAATTCTTGTTCTTTGAATGTGAAATCTCTATTTGACAAAACTGGGGGAAAAAAAAAGGTCATGACATGTAATAAAGTCAAAGTGTTTGTTGTAAAACGCTTCAAAGAAAAGTTGGATTTCAAACATGTGGTTTGGTGTTTAGATGGTTAATATTTTCTTTCCACACAGATGTTAGTTTGACATTCAGTTAAAGTTCTTACTGGAAGACGAGCTTTTTCTGTTGACAAGAAACAATTTCAGCCTTAGTTCTTGTATGAAGCCTGGCTGCTCTGTCGTTTTAATAATGCCAGTCTGTTAATTGTGGCTTGTTTTGATTCCATGCGAGTCATCTTCATGGCAGTTTGTTCATTACAGACTGCTAGTTTTAATTTGTTTCACCCATGATTCATCCGTGTGGTTTTCATTGTCACATCACTGAAGTTTTATTGAGGACACACACTGTAAATGAGAGATATTTTTAAAAAAAAAAAGAAAAAAACTATAATTTTCCACTGCTGATCCATTTAAAGCAACATAGGTCCATGATTGCAAGACATGGATCACCACTCTTAGTTAATTCACTATTGGATAATAGATTGTGATGATGTACAAGTAACTACAGTCTTTAATTATGCTAATGCCTGTAATTAAAAGAGTGTTTTACAGACATAATGCATGATTTGTGTACACTAAACAAAGAAAAGTGCCCCCTATACAAAGCTGTCAGTTTGTACAACCTGGGAAAATATGCAAAATTATCCCAAAACTCCTTCAAGAAATGAATACAAAAACAAAGTTTGTTTGCTGTTTAGTTAGCTTGCTCTAAAATTTTAAGAGCCAATGTTTGGGAGGTGATTCTGAAAACCCGACAGTAGAAAAATGTTTCCTACGTTATATAATCTCAACGTAAAATATTATTAATACCTGTCACAATAACAAATTTTGCTGAGCGATTGTCTAAAACATTATTGCGATAAACGATAATATTGACTAATAATGCATGCGATTTCCTGCCATAGATAGATGCACTTTATTTTCAAAAGAACACATAATACTGGAACTGATAAATTAAATAAACAAAACAATCAAAAACAAAAATAAAATTGATTCTCAGTCTCCATTAACAAAAAACTTACTTAAATAAGAACTAAACGACATAAAGCCAAAGTGGAAATAAATACTGCATTCAACCAAAAGAGTGCAGATTATGAAATCTGTATACTATATTGCCCTTCAGTAATCACTAGATTTAAATAGAGAAGACGGGCACATCCTGGCGCAATGGTTCACACTACACGATTTTTTGCCCCCATTTTGCCCTTATGATAATCTTAGAACGTTGGGCGATCCAAGATTGTCGCTGGTGATTTCGTAACCGATCATCCTGTAATGTGTGGTAGGTTACGGTGAATTGTCGTGGCCGCTCCGATCTAAATCAGGGGTTTTCCCCGACTGGGAGCTTAAAGCTGAATGTGACAGAAAGCGCGGATTCTCCTCCTGCTTTCTGAGGGGAAATTACGGAGGGGAATCCCAAACAGCTGACACGGCGCACCCCGAAGTCCAGCGGACATCGGAGACGATATGTGGAAACAACATTAATATTTATTCAACAAGAATATAGAAATGACAAAGGGAGGAGTCGGAGCCAAATTGCTACTACAGTTGATAAACCCGGTAGGTTTTCAGCTGTTCTTCGTTAACGTGACATAAATAGGTTATAATGATTTTCATTCAGTCAGGACTTTACGCTGAATCCCTGCTGTCCCATCACAAGTAGATTTTAATAAAGCATTGATTAATGCCTGGTTTTAAAATTAGTTAACTGGACTTGTAGCCATTATTTTGTGCCCATGTGGCTGGACACCACACGACACAATCGAACCCGCTCGAACCGTTATACCTAGGATTTCTGTCGGCTAATGTGTCTCTCAGGTTTTGAAAATGGGCCGACAGTCGGCTGACAACTTGTGTAGTGTGCGCTGGACATTACACTAAGGAAATGGGAAGTTAGGGTCAGTAGAGAGCACCGGAGTTGAGCCTTTTTTCATTCAGTGTCATCAACAGAAATAAAAAAGTCAGGAAGAGACGATAAAGCCGATAATTAAAATGAGGTCAATAGGTTTAATTTATCGTGCGATTAATTGATAATTCGTTTATCGCGACAGGCCTATTAATGCTTAATCTAAAGAAGAAAAAAAAAGGTTCCAGGTGGAAATATGAATATGAATATGAAATATGGGGTGTCAGAGGTTGGATGAATGGGATTTTTGTTTTGTTTTGTTTTGTTTTGTTTTTTAAATTCATGTGTCTGCATTAAGCAAAAAGATGACTTCCTAGACTCTCTCTCTATTTTTTTTTATCTGTGCAAGAATGAAATAATTTCCAAAGTAGAGATTCTGCAACTGATCTTGGAGACCAAATTATAAAATATCATATAGAAAATTAGCTCACCCACAGTCAGGACCTCACTGATTAAAAAAAATTGTTTTCAGTGCTGCAGTTCATAATCCAATTTTTCAGCAAAGCCAGAGGAATTGCATCAAAGTAAATGGATTTTATTTTCTTTGGTCAGGTCTCAATATGGTTTCTAGCTGCTTCACTCAATCAGATGCTGGTATTTTAGTTTTGTAGCACGCCTAATTGTGAATTGTGTCGTGCGTGGTCGCACTGCAGGTTCCTAGTGTTTGGTCAGACCCAATCCCTGTTTAAGTATTTTTATTTTTTTTTATCACATACTTCATTCCCCCATGTTTGATATGAGTTACAGTGAGAAGCTGTTGTTTTTTTTTTTTTTTTTTCATTATGGTTGCCTGTTTCTTGATGATTCAGTTTCTCCTGCCCCCCTCCCTACTACCCACCCGTGTTCCTCCATCCCACCCTCCATCCTCTCTCCTCCCGCTCTCCCCTAGATCACCCGGATGCAGACAGAGAACAGTGCGTTACGGGGGGGCCAGCAGGCTGGGGGGGCAGCTGGCCATGGGGTTGGGGGCCCAGGTGGAGGGGGGGGAGGCCACTGGGTGAGTGGCGGGATGTTTGGAGGAGTTGTTGCTGGGGGTTTGGGTGGGTTCGGTTCAGGAGCTGACCCCACGGGGCTCTCTGTGCCCCCCTCAGCCAGCCCTTACCCCCCTCTCCACCGAAGGGACCGGCAAGCCATCTCCATGTATGAGCCGGGGGCAGCCCCGGGGCCCACGGCTCACGGCCCCCCAGCCCTGGACTCCCTTGCAGCCCGCCTGCAGCCCCTCAACACACCCAGCGTAAGTTAGAAAGCCCCACCTTCCAACCTTCCTGTCGGTGGTCCTGATTGGCCGTTGCTAGGCGCTAGTCCAAACCTGATGTGTATTTTCCACACCTCTTTATCTTCTGCATCTTTTTAACCGATCCTTCTCCTTTCAAAAGATCGATTTGTGCACAATTCTCAAGTTAAATTCATTAAAAAAAAATAATAATAATAAGTATTTGACTTATTACAGTTTTTCTAGGAGGAGCACAAAGATGATCTTGAGGAGAAAGATGTAGAAACTGGAATGTTTCAGTTCTTCTTTTGCCTGGCGGTTCCTCCGACGCTCTGCTCTTTTGCCTGGATCCTTTCCGATTCTTTGTGACCTTCCGGGTAGCTCTGCTGCCGCTGCTACATCTGGAAACGGCACACATACGCATGCTCACACTTAAAAACAGAAGCATCTCTCTGATGGGGTGGGGGAGGATTTGGATCAATCCTGACACCTGTCAGGATTGACGGTTCAGCCGTCAGTTATTCCCTCAGCCTCAATACAACCCCCCCCTGGTGTCCAATTCACCAGCTCCTTCCACCAAGTTTTACCTGTGTGTGTGTGTTTTCTCTCTGTCTGTCTCTTCATCATCCGCCCCTCGCTCACTGCGGTGTCATCGCTCCATTTCATCTCCACTGTAGGTGTTTCTCACTTATCTCCTAGAAAACCTTCTGGAGTTGAAAGTCAGTCTCATCTGTGTTCATAGTTTTTTTTTTTTTTGTTTTTTTTTGTGCAATGTGATTTTAACCTAATAGTTTACAGATCTTCTAGAAACAAGAGAGAACACAGAGCTTCCTGTAGCTGCAGTGGGACAAGGCTAAAGCTGGCTCTCTTTCACCTTGTTTCTCAGCTGTTTCTCCCTGCCGTCACTCTTCCCTCAGCCAAACCGTTTTGTCGGCTAATCTATCGATCTGAAATGTTCTCTGGTCTTAACTGCTTCTCCCGCTCTCCATACGTGTGTGTTGCTCTGTCCTTCCAGGTAAGGAAGGGCGGAGTTAGTAGTCCAGGGCTGTATGGAGTCCAGCACGTGTCCGGATCTACGGAGATGGGCCGATACATGGTGAGCTGAAGCAAATTTGTATAACTCAAATGTGCAACAGATTTTCAACAGCTAAGGCACTTTGCTTCCACCAAGAGGAAAGCGGTTAAAGTACAGCGCTATGAGCCAACGGTTTAAGTTCAAATCTCTACCTCTGCCTATGTGACTTCTGGGATGATGACGTTTATGAGCCTTTTAATACATTTGGCATGTGCCGTGATTATTTTCACCCCCAAATGTGAAAACTGTTCTATTAAAGATTGACTGAAGTAATTTTTGTGGGTTTTTTTTTTTTTAAGTGAATCAACACAGGACAGCGGTTTTTTTTTTGGTTTTTTTTACCGAGCTGCTTCTGTTCCTTTCTTTAGGTGTCCAAACCCGAGAAGCACGGCAGCGGCACAGACAGTGACTATGACAACACACACGATCATTTACAAAGGTCGGCACGATCAAGCCAACGCCGAGCTGCCTCAGAAATGCATCAGTTAATCTTAACCGCGTCTCGTTCTCCAGTATTGGCCGGAGCAGCGAAGAGGAGGGTCGAGGCGAGTCTGAGGAGGGAGGGGGCGGCGATGCGGGCGAGCCGGATCCCACCCTGCCATGCACAGAGGACGTGATACTGAAGACGGAGCAGGTGACTAAGAACATCCAGGAGCTGCTGAGGGCCGCACAGGAGTTCAAACACGACAGGTAAAGGAAAAACTCTCCCGGCTGCCCGTCCGTACAGATGTTGCTCTCCTCAACAGGGATTGTTCTGCTCTCTAGGAGGCCGAAGGTTTCCCAGCCTTACTTAGCGAGATGATCTTCAGTCGTTTTCCTCTCTTAATCTTGAGCCAGCTAAATAACTTAGGTTTCAGTAATTTCAGATGAGCCTTAAAGGGTCGAGTGAGATCAACTAAACTATTCTTTTTTTCTCTCCATGTTGACACGTTTTCATTAGCTTTGTCCCGTGTTCTGAGAAGATCCACTCTGCCGTCACTGAGATGGCTTCCCTCTTCCCCAAAGTAAGGCCTCCTCTCCTCTGATTTCTGCTGCGTTTTTGTGTCCGCACCATTGCCTGACCTTAATTGGCGTCTCCCTGCAGCGGCCAGCGCTCGATACGGTCCACTGCTCCCTGCGCCTGCTGGCTTCCAGCGCCTCGCGGCTGCAGGTGGAGTGTCGCAAGGCGGCGCCCTCGGAGCCCGGGGCCCCGGCGGTGGACTACCAGCTGCTCACCCAGCAGGTCATCCAGTGCGCCTACGACATCGCGAAGGCTGCTAAGCAACTGGTCACCATCACAACACGCGAGAAGAAGCAGTGACCGAACCAACACAGAGACGGGGAGAGAGAGGCAAGAGGCCGATGCATGGGGGAGGGGCCTTCGGGGGGGAAAGGAGGACGAGGGACGACACGATCAGGCTGCGGATGGAGGGAGCGATGGAGGAAGAGAAGAAAAGCTTGGAAGATGCATGAGGAAGCAGAGATTGTTCTGGACAAACGGCAAAAGCGTGGAAGTGAAGGTAGGGGAAGGACAGGTAGAAGGGTCCGATCTGGAGTTGGAATGAGAAGCGTTTAATAAACCGCTGAAACTGTGTGGGAAAACATGAGACCTGATGTTGGGAGATGTACAGCGAACTGGATTCTTAAACGTTATTGCTTTATTTATTTTGGTCCAACGTTGTCCGTCCCGTTTTGTGCGCCTTGTCGCCTTGGGAAGAACTTCTGCCACAGAGAGAGAAGCGGCACAGCCTCCTGGGAGAAGGCGGGACATTCCTCCTCTCCTTTCCCCTTTCCTCTCTTTCTTCCCTTTCTCCCCCATCTTGTCTGTCCAACCTGAAGTGTGGACCCTCTCTGTTTCCACTGACGTCCCGGGCAGGACGAGCGAGCGGCGCAGAGGAGGACACACCTCCACCGAGGCCCTCAGACTCTCCGGCTTTTCTACTGGAGGGCCTTGAGTTTTTCTTCCAACCCATCGCTGTCTTGTTGTTGGTGGTACACAGCATGATCTGGCATGTTTTCATTTCAGTTTTTTTTTTTTTTTTTTTTTTTCATTTCTTTCTGAACCCGCAAATCAGATTGATTTGCACCTCTAAGGACTTTCGCCCCACCCCTTTTTTACTGACTTTAAACACTTACACTGGAATAATTATGATTTATTGTTTATCATGTTTTTTTGTTTTTTTTTTGTATTGACAATTTTACTGACTGTTATTTTGATTTAACTGTTTCTGTAAGTTTATTTTATTGTGCTAAAATGAATTCAGAAATAACAGGGAGACAGCTGGGAGTACTTTCCCCTCTCGCTGGAAGATGAGCAAATCTGCACACTTAGAGATCAACAAGAACCTGAGAAGAGGTTCCCCAGCATTTCGAAGCACTCCTCTTCTTTCCTCTCATGTTATCTTGTGGCCAAGGGGTTGAAACAGTTGCCAAAGGAGAGTGCGTTTCATTTTCTGTCAGAGCAGAAGCCCCTTCGTCACATTGTAGACAGAATCTATCTTTTTTTTGTGCTTGATTTCTCCTGAAAAATATATATATATATATATTCTGCCTCATTTATACACAGCCAGTGGAATCATCTCAGAATCATTCGCAGTGCCAAGCGGGATAATAATAAACAACAACAACAAAAAAAAACATTTAGCTTGGTTTGTTTACAAGGAAGAGCCTGGCAGCCATTAACCTGCATGCATGCTAGAAAACAAAACACAATTCAGATTTTAGTAGGCATGCAGAAAGCCCTGGATCGTAGAAAATGTTCTTGTTTAACGTCCTCAGTTTATGGAGAGTACTTGATTTGGTTCGCCATGTGTTATTTTTCACTCGCAGGACTGTCTGGCAAGCACAATCAGGCAGGCGAGCTGTTTTCCAGCTCAGACAACCTGCCGATCTGGGCCACAGATGTTGTCTGTGTTTCTGAACTCTGCCAACAGGAAACAGCAATGGGAACAAATGTTTTTTTTTTTGTTTGTTTTTTTGTTTGTTTATATATATATATATATATATAATATATATATATATATATTTAGTGCACTTTCCCTACCCAGCAGTTCTAGCTCATTGTATCGTGCCGAACAAATATGCTTGTTTCTGTAAGGACGGATGCTGATGAGATCCTTTCTACGACTTTCTTGTAGGTTATTAAGGATGTGATCAAACAGCTGTGCATCCGTTTTGTCTCAAACTGCTGCCTTTCAGCAGGACATCGCGTTTAGCTGCACTGCTTCACCCGCCTCAATCACGCTTTGCTTTATTCGTCCCTCATTTGGCTGACTGTCCTTCAGCCTCACACGACTGAACACTGTTGAGGAACGTTGAATCTCATCCATGTGACTCTTTGATCCATCTACGGTTGGAGTTTTGAATGCCTTTGCACATCGTCTTCATCATCTCCTGTTCGACTGACTGTTTTAGTGATTTACGACTTTACTGACAAACACAAGTGGGGGGGCCAGAAGAAAAACGTGCTCTTTCAATCATCAGTGCCCATGTTTTAGACTAGAGCCATATATATATATATATATATAAATATAAATATAAAAAATAAACATATATTTTCATGCTATTTTCTATTAAGCTCCATGTTAGGGTTATGTTTGTGGGATATTTATGTCTATTTGTTGGCCTAAAGGGCTTCAGGCTGCGACGTCTGCTCTCCAAATCTTCAGTCAGCTCGACCCGACATTTGAAGTGCCCTTTGGTTGCCCTCCTGTGTGATCAGACTGGAGATATTAACAATCCAGCGAGAATCCACAAAACGTGGAGGAGGAAACACAGGCTGATCTCAGTGTGAGTTGCACTATTTTCAAAAACCAGCTGGTTGAAGTTGGATCTACGTACCGCACTCTCCCAAAGGTCTTGGCAGGATTAGTTTTGTCTGAAGCGCACTTTGGCCGAACACACTACAGTCATCTCAACAGGACGGGTCTAAAATGCACGTGGCCCGGTCCTTCCTACGTTTGGTAGACACTACTTAGGGTGCCTCTAGTTTGAATGTTGAATGCTTCCTTTTGCTCATGTCACTTAACTTTATATACTACTTTTTGTTCAGATTTTGGGGTCATGATTTCTAATTTTAGAGACACCCACAGGTTATCAGTTGGACCAATCCATGCACAGGAGACGTTAAGAGTTGCAGGTTTTTGTTCTGGAACACGGACGTGTGCTGTGATCTGCACTGTTTTCATCCTTGACTTTTCTTTAAATTGCACCAGGAATTCAGAGATGGGAGAGCTTTGTGTTGACAGAAGGCATTAACTGTATAAAGTAGAGAAAATGGTGACTTATGGAGAGAAAAGGTCAATCATAATGGAAACTCATAAGCTGTACATTTGTAATAAAACAATTTAATTGCCCTTTCTAATCTGTGAATGTTCTTTATATGTGACATTGTAGTTTCCCCAGCCCAATTAAAAATCTATGGCAAGACATAAGTTCTGTTCACAGAATGTCTCTATCCAGTCTGACGGTCCTCGAGTAACTTTGCAAAAGAAGAATGAGCAAATATTTCAGCCTCTACAGTGAGCAAAGCTCACAAGGACACATCCTTGCGATTGAAAATTTTTGAATACAAATACTTGCCCCATTTCTCATAATTAATAACCATGTCTCATTCCTTCCAAAACATGTTTATGTGCTACTTTGGTTTTATGTATTCCCAAAACATACCAATAAACTAATCAAACTTTGTTTCTTAAGGCAACACAACTTGAAAAAGCTCCAGGGGCGTGAAGACCATTGCCGAGGCATTGTACAAAAGACTTTGGGATCTTTAATATTTGCAAGGACATCCTAGGCCTATTAACAGAACCAGCGTACCCATTCACACGTAGGTGAAAAACATTTTACCACATCCTATATAGAACAAAATAGCTGTAAACATTAAAACACATTACAAAAGTGTTGCTTATAACAGCAACGTACATTTCAAGACTTTGCAGGTCAATGAAGTAATTAAACATGTAGAAAAAAACCCCCAACTGGCCACACTTTAAGTTCCTAAAAATTACTGTTTTAAATTATTTACTGCCCAACAACCCTTATCAAAAACAATGATGCAGTTGACCAGAGATAAATTCAGGATCGAGCCGACTTTACGCCGCTGTGGCCCACAGCACCTACACTGTAGAACCAGGAAGAAACGGGAGACAAGTCCAATTTAAAGCATCTTCTGCTTGGTTAGACACATTCTTCACTTCATCTGGATGCAGTTTGCATCTTTATTTTATTTTTTTATTTAGTTGAAGCCCAGCCTCGTACTATGGATCTTCATCGGAGCTGGAGGAGCTCGGCAGGAGAACGCACGCCTTCCTTCGGCCTCTTTTCGGCCGCCTCTTGGCGATTCTCAGCCTCCTGCGTATCACGTCTAGAACACAAGCACATCACAGTGAGCACTCGTTCCCAGCAACACGGAGATCAGATCCCCGTGCGGTCCTACCTACCCGCCACGCTGTCGTAGTCCTGATGCGGGTCGCGCCAGTACAGGCTGGGTGTGGTCCTCCAGTGGCGGTACAGGCGGGTGTGAAGAATAGACAACGTGAGGAGAACCAGCAGGAAGCCCAGCGCTGCTGCGGCCCAGACTGCTTCATCCGTCCTGGGGGTCCTCTGCAGTCCGATGTTCACCACGGCGCCCCGGCTAGCCACTGCGGACGGTTTAGAGCAGTCGCAGCGTTCGCCTGCTTTGCAGTCAGAACACTCGTTGCTGCTGGATTTCTTGGTTTCCGACTGGGATTTGGAAGCGGAACTGGACTTTGTGGGAAGGGGCTTGACAGTGGGCAGTCGATTATGTTCGGCCTCCCTTTCTTTGACATCAACCACTTCTTCATCCTTCGTCCTGCCCTTAACCATGGGGCCCTCAGCAATCTTTATCTCCTTCATGCCGTCTCTGACAGAGTCTGCACCTTCATGTTGAGATGGATCAGTCTGAAGCAGACTCTCAGAGTCGTGCGACACCAGATGAGGGGTGGGCGATGTAAAAGTCTGATGTTGCTGCCGGGTCTCGGACTCAGAAGTCTGGAAAGAAGGATCCAGGGGACGCGGTTGTCCTGGATGCGAGTCTGATTCTGGTCCAAACGAGCTGCTGTGATTCTGGACATCGGCTGTTCTTTGGGGAATGTTTTTGTTGATCTGACTGGAGTCATTTGTCATTTTATCAGCTCTGTTATATTTTGCAATTGCAGCTCGAATTTCCCTATATTTCCTTCCCTTTTTAATTTGTCTCAAGGTATCCTTCTTTATACCAGGCAGTGCCCCAGTGATTCCACTCAGCAAAGAAGAAATGGTCTGCTCACAGCATTGCCTCACAGAAACCTATGGATTTAAAATAGTAGTTACTTGGTGTTGTACCAAACACCAACGTTCCTATTTTTGATCATTTTACTCATGATGCCACATGTAAATCAGCAGAAAATCAATGTATTTCACCAAATCTTCTAACCTTATTTTCTGCCGATGGCCCCAGATGCTGCAGGCCTGCTGACCTGGTCAACAGGAAGTTGTACTTCCTGGTTTGAGTTCTCTTTTCAACTTTACGTCTGGTGGCTTGTGTCGCCTGCAGCCAATCGCAGACCTCTGAAGAGGCCACGGTGGTCAGCTCCAACGTGCGACCCCAGGACACCAAGGCTATTGGCTAAGGATGACAAGCATCCCATTACAAACCACCCTTCAGATTATTAAACTGAGTGTTAACTGCAGTGAAGGGGGGAAAAAAACAACAGTGGTTTTTACCATGTCTCTGCTGAGTTGTGGGTGTGGAGTGATGATGTGACCCGGCAGACAGGAGCGAGCCAATACAGAAAGGAGGCGACGCTCACCGAGCTCCACACAGGGATGGTAGAGCAAAACAGTGGCACCATGCTGGGGAAAAAAACAAAAAAACACGTCAGACCAAATGGTGAAACACTTTGTAACCTAAATCAGAAAAGCAAAACATTTCTATAAGACGTCAGCGATGATTTGTCTAAAAGTACCTGCAGGTCAGCTGCTCTGACCTCTGAGGTTAAACAGAAAATGTGATCCTAGATCGTATGACAGTCATCACACTAGTCACACGTAAGGTTTCAAATCATCACGCAAATTTAAAAATGTAACAATAACCTGAGTAAATACAAAAAGCTGATTTTATTTCATTTTATTAGTGGAAAAAAAATTACAACCAACCTGAGACTTCATGAAACACCAAGTATGAGTTTGTTGGAAAAGTAAATAAAGCTTCAGATTGGTGAAAGTCACTGTTATGCTTTATCTATCTATCTGCTTCATCAGGTGATCGTGAATTTGCCAGGATCATTTCCGAGTTGCTCAGTGTCTCTGAAAACACAGGAGCCGTACCATCTGTGGTGCTGCGGTATCCGGACAGTCAAATTCCAAACGTTTCTGCGGCCCTGGTGGACTGGAGTTTGACCTCTGTGCTTTAAAGGGTAGGTCTGTACCTCTGTTGTTCTGCAGGTGTCCCAAAGGCTTTAAAATGGCTTTGTATTCCTTTCCACACTGACAATGTCACTAACCTTGAGTCTAATCTGTTCTTCAGTTGCTTTAGATCTTTGATTTTTTTTATATATATATATTCTTCAGATGACGTTTTGATTTAGGATGTATTTTAGTCTACATGTTAGAGAAGTTCTCTTTCGTGGGATTTCTTGATTATGTGTCTGACTGAACTCTGCTTTCCACAAATGTGGTCAATTACAGGTAAATCTTTAAAAATAGATTTTCCATTAATGTGGGTTATGTGTATGTGACATGGAAATTAGTTCAGGTCTGAAACATTTAAGTGATCTGAAACGGTTAAAAAGTAAAGCGCTGAAATATTTTGTTCACGCCGCATTTTTGTAATTTGAAAAGTTCTATATTTACTGTCCATGAATCACTCAGAAACAGCCTGTTTCATGTGACTAAATTTTACTTTTTTTTTTTTATCTTAACTTTGTTGCCTGTTGCAAGAAATATGTGGATTTGGAAGACATTCCACTTGTACCATGAGCACCTTTTAACAATGACGGCACTAAGATCTGGGATTTGGGGGCGGGGCGGGGGAGTGGGAGGGAGAAAGAACAGCCTGACCTGCTAGTATGCTAATTAGTATGATTACAGTGATGTCTGTTGAGTCATAGAATACAAAAACTTCCTGGATGAGCTGAATTTACTTCACAGCACAGGCCGATGGTTTTAAGTTACTTCTTTCCTGTTAGCTGAAGTGCTTTGTAAATATTAAATTACTACTTCTTAAGTCTGTGGTTTTCAAGGATTTAATATGTAGCTGTAAACAGAATGCAGCTGGGTAGAAGGTAATACTTGGATCTTAATCATCATAGCAACAGCACACTGACTGAATCTCACTTTCAGTTCTCTTGGGAGAAAGTCCCAAAGGGTATCTTAAGATCTGGACGTGTTAAATCATGTTTCCACTCCTGTGATAACAAAGCCTGGATTATGACCAATACTAGAAAGATATCACTATGGTATTATTTTCTATTTCACATTACATTTTGAGGTGATTATTGTTGAGGTGTAAATGACGACAGTAAAATTAATAAACAGATGGTTTTTTTCAGCTTTTTTTTTTTTTTTTTTCCAAACTGCATTGAGTTTTTTTTTTTTTTGTAAATCCTTCAAAGTACATCCTGCAAAGTTGTGGTTCCAATACATTTAGCATAAAATATGACAATAAAGCAACATTTTCCTGCCACAGCCACTCTGTTTACATCTAAATATATGACAGAGAGCTAGAATTGAATGCAGGTCTTGGTGGGGTTTTTTATGGGACTGGAGTCAAACGACTTGGCAGTAAGTTCCCGTGAGGAGAGGGATGAGCAACAGACAGAAAAGCTGAATTTAAAAATGTTGGATTTTGACACTTACATGCAAATTATTTAGCCACCGCTGAGGAGGACAATACAAGTACTCTCCACTCTCTGCCATTACTGGCCTGAATGCTCCACTAAAAAGAAAAAGAGGTTACATTCATTTTATTTCTTGCATATATATATATATATATATATGTTTTTTTTTACAACAGTGATGTTTGCAGAAATTGAATTATTACACATATTGTCACAATACAACCACAAAGTTCTGATATTTTTAAGATTTTATGTGACAGATGACTAAAAAAGAAGTGAATTAGTGTGAAAGAGAAATGATACATGGTTTTCAAATGTTCTTCTAATAAAATCTTACAAGTGTGGCATGCATTTTTATTCAGCTCCACTAAATCAGACCTTAGCAGAATTGCCATTTACAGAGTCAGAGCTTTTGTTATTCTTCTTTAAAAAAAGAAAGAAAGAAAGAAAGCTCAAATTCAGTTAAATTGGATGGAGAGCAACAATTTTCAAGTCTCGCGTAAGGTTATCGATTCAATTTGGGTCTAGACTTTGGCTCCGCCATTTTATCACATGAACATGCTTTGATCTAAACAACTCCATTGTTGCTAAGCTGTATTCTTCGGCTTATTGAGAGTCTTTTCCGTCTCTTACAGGGCTTTCTCAAGGATCATCCTGCATTTAGCTGCATCCATCTCCCAGAGAATTCTGAGCAGCTTTCTTGTCCCAGTTGAAGAAATAATTGATGGTTTGTTTAGCATGAAATGCCTAAGCAAATTGAAAATGTTCAATTTTAGTCTTATCTAACCGAAGCATCTTCTACAGCATATTTACTGTGGATTTCTTCTATAGCTTTCTTCCAGTCAATCCTCTATACAGTGCTAGATTTGTATGACTAATCATCAAGTCTTCCACCTAATATGTTGAGCTCAAATTTCCAATTAAACAGGAGTTGGGTGCAAATGCAGGTCACACTTTTCTTATTTTTATAAGGAATATTTAAATTCTGTGTGAAATTCCTTCCACTTCACCATTATGTGCTAATTTGTAAATCACATAAAATGTAGCAAAATTTGTTATCGTACCATGGAAAAAAGTTAATACATTAGTAAGGTAGTGAACACCTACCTGCTGGGAATGGAGTGTTTGTAGGGGATCAGATAATCCATGCATATTTCCCTTGCTGGCTATGATGTAAGAGAAAATCAAAACAAATTAGCTTTTAAAAACTTTATGATTAGTATGAGGAAAAATCCAAAGATATCTGCTGGTAACAGTTTTTAAGTTTAATTTACTGAAAAGGGAGGCTTATGCCAGCTTCTGTAGCTAAGTGGATGCTTAATGTTTGCCCCCTGTATGCCTGCATCCCCTGGCTATCAGATGAAGCCAGGGGATGTTCACATTGAACAAAAAGGATGAGAACAAGTCAACAAAGACAGCAAAAGGAAAGGAAAGTGCTTGGTAAAGTGTTTACTCACCTCGGGGTCACACACGGTGTCAATACTTGGAAGTCTCTGTAGATAGGAATAAGAATGACCCCATTAAACTGCTGATAGAGCAACCTGAGCAACATCAAAGCTGACAAATGCCCAGCACTTCGGTCTGAAACGTGTCTACAAGTGAAGTATGTAGATTTAGGGGATGATGTAGTGTGAGCAGAGCTGAATGTCCAGAGTTTATCTCTGTTGCTTTCCTATGATTGTTTTCACTTCCTGAAATTTGTCGTCTAACACAACCTACCTCACTGGGTCAAAGAGATAACGAATAATAATGTAGATGAAGTCAGGGACGTCTATTGTATCCATGGTTACCTGAGCAGACTCTGGCGGGGAACGGACTGAACACCCCCAATAAACCGCATCTGTAGGCAGGTCTCTGTCCAAATATAGCTGAAACACACACAGAAAGTAAATGTAGTTACAGGGCTGAAATGACTGAATGTAGCTCCTGCTGAGCAACAAACAAACACTGAATCGGTGATACAGCTATAATAACACAACCTTACCTTTCCGTTGTCACATCCTGGTCCCAGAGATTCGGAAGCACCGCACCGACCCAAGGCGAGCCACAGCGCCGCCAGCAGAGTCGCTGCCAGCGGCGGGGAGCTCGTTTGGCTCGGCATGGTGAGGTCCAGTCACTCATTCAAGTCGGTATAAACCCCGCATTTAGCTGGTTTCCATAGCTTCCCCGTAGTGCTCTAACAAGAGACGGTTGGCAAAAACAACCTTCGACCTTTCGTTATCCCCCAAAACACTAAACGGAACCATAGCAAAAGGTCGGTTGAACAAAAGGTGTGTCTATTCACTCTTAGCTTGTCTGAAGTCTCGTCAGTTGTGTTTCCTTCACAGAGCAAAATTAACAAGAGACAAAGTAAATAACATACACAAAAGCGCTTAGCAGAGAAATGTAAATACTTCCATAAGTTCACACGGGCGACATATTAGTTAAGATAGCAAGGTCGCTGAAAACTGCCATTTCCGTCTGCATTTCAAAGTAAAAGCGTTATTCGCCTATCCACAAAAGCTTATTAGACATGACTGGAATAAGACTGTTTGGGGGGTTATTTAGCCCAGTTTATTGGCACTTGTTATATCGTGAAATGGAAAACAAAGGCAAGATTAGTCAATTTATAAAGCAAAACTCATAAACGAGGCAATTAAAGCATTTTAATGGAAAGTATGAGCAATGCTAAATCAAATTAACTATATTGGGGTAAAAGGTATATAAAAGATGGCCATATAATATGGAAAAGATACAGCCAATATGGATTAAAAAATAATCCATATTTTTTAATATGTATATTTGTAGGAATGATGGAGACAAGAATATCAATTTTGAGTTAAGGAGGTTTGGAGACAACAGGTTCAACTATTACCTTCTCACATTTATTTCTTGTCCTGGAAAAACACTGAGTAACCACGTGATTTTTTTTTTAACAAGACATAACATCACTCCTTTTTCAAACAGTGTGCCAGAGCAGGGATTTAATTATTGGTGTGGCGTGGTCACTTCTAATCAGCAGCATATTGACTGAGCTTCAGCTAGCTGACTGATATGTTTTTTTTTTTGTTTTTTTTTGTTTTTTTTTCAGACATCATTAATACTTGTGATTTTTTTAAGGTGGTACAAAGCTGACATAGTGATAGACTATGTGCTTATTTAAAGTCAGCCCTAAGTCTGGGTTTCTTTCTCATCTTGAGGTATTTAGTCACTGAGAGCCTAGCTGAGAGCTCATATCTTGGTCTGTAGTTTTTGGGACCAGAAATTAAAACGTATCAAAAAACATCTCTTTCATCTGCATTTAGTTGGAGGAAATACAGGCCAGACCAAGCACTAATAATATTGTCAAAAGCTTTAAGGGATAGTAGTCATGCGGTGACCCAGAAATATAAAGTTTAGTGATATTTGCATATGGGTGGTAAGATATGTTTTAATGCTCCGCAATCTGAGCAAGACTGAGGAGTATTAAAATAGATAACTCTTAAATAAAAGCAATCCAAGAACAAAGTCTTGAGAAACACCACATTTGATCATTGTTTGCTCACATTCACATGTGCCAAATGAAACAAAGCAGTTCTCATTTGCTCGCTAAATTCTAGCGCATTCTATCATAGCCTCAAACAATCCCACCCACTTTTCTGGTCTATCACTCAGTATGTAAGGTGTCAAATACAGCACTGAAATCCAGAAATGTCAATGAATGCATTTTAGTGACATCACATCTGATTAAACTTCAGACTTTTACAGATGCAGTCTCAGTTCGGTGTTGTGGTTAAACACCTGAAAGCATTGAAGAGATGTATTTTTACCTGAGAGGAGTATTTGTTGGTAAACTACCCTTTTCAAAATCTTTGATAGAGTAACAAAAAATGCTACATTAGGAATGTACCTAACGAAACAGGCATGCAAACAAGAACAATAATTAGGAAACCCTACTAAAACACAATTTGTTAGACAAATATTATATATACATGTGGAAATAAAATTCCAATTATATTTTTTTCCTCTGTTTTATCCAAAGAGGAAAAAAAAAAGTACAATGTGTTTTAACCATAAGACATTAAATAAACATAAAACCTCAATTGTTTTCTTTTATGATGACATCTAAAATATAAAAAATGTTACTGAATATTTTATTTTTCCTTATTTGCCAAAATATGTAGAAGTGACAATGGGTGATTTGACCAAATTAGTCACTTTTTATTCATTAATAAAGAAAAAACACCCTTAATTGGTTTAATTGGTTAAACACTCTACTTCCGGTATTGCGCTTTATTGTAGCTTTACATATTCAGTCTACGGAAGCCGCAGGCATAAGAAAAAAAGAAAAGAAAAAAAAAAGCTCTTACTATTGGCCGTTTATCCTCTGGAAAGAAATTGTATGTTTTAAAGGGACATTTGTACATGTTACTGTCGAGAAATAACAATGTAAAATCATACATAGCATTACGTAAAATTGTAACATTGTGAAACATGTCTTATTGCCTTACTTTATATGTTGTAAAACATCGTTTTGTTTTCAAAACAGATTGGTACTTTGGGACACTGTTTATGAAACAATAAGTAAAGTCGTAAGAACTTTTGCAATATATTTTTTTAAAGCGTTCGACACACAGTGCTGACAATCCTCGGCCTGCGGTGGAACCTGTATTACCAGCTCCCACAGGCCACAAAGTAAATCAGCCTCTTATGACACAGGTACAAATAATTTTCCTTTCAAAATACAATCTAAACAAACAAAAAAATGCGCGAAACATATTGAAAATATGAGTAATTTAATCAAACAAAGCAGTTATTTCTATAAAAGTCACCTGATCCTTGCCTGGTAGAGTTTACCTTCTATGAAAATTCTGTAGCTGTTTCCTTTTTAAGAGGGCTTTAATTTGAAACGAGTTGTTTTGTATTTCCGATATAGCTTACGCCTCCTTCAGCTCCCCACCCACAAGCTTTTTATACAGCCACACCTTTTCTCACAGGTGTGTCCATCAGAAGAGACGTGGTCCTCCTGGAAGGAGGATACGCCTGGACAAAGATGGATTCTTCCCTCTCCAAAGGTTTGCAAGCCATGCTTTTAGTTGACAAACGTGGCGATCAGTTTTTTTTTTTGTTTGTTTGTTTGTTTTTTTGACTTCAGTTGCTTTATAAAGTCCTGTTCACGACCGTTGTGATTTGCTAAAAGTACAAAGATGTTTTGCCTTTTTTTTTTTTTTAACTGAGTGTTGCAGTTCTCTATATCTGTAGCTGATGAATAACCCATTAGGTTAAGGCATAGGATTCATATGACAACATTTCTAGCCTTGCTTGAATAAATTAATTCTGTCTGACCTTTACAGGAAGTCAGATTGTAGGGAAGTGCATCCATGCAAGTCTCATTTGCTTTAATTCAAACAGTGAGGGGGGGAAAAAAGTATTGTTTTGAAAACACCAGTCCTCTTTATGTCTGTAGATAAATGCCACCTACTTGACTTTAACTGACGTTTTGCAGTCAGTTAACAGAAAACGAGTAAGCATACGTGTATCTTTCTTGCTATCGACCAGGTGGAGCCGTTCCTTCAGGCATCCGGCCAGCGGGAGATCTGCAGGCGACAGAAGATGCAGACCTAAGTGGGAAGAAGCAGAGTGAGGGTCAGCCTGGACAGCCGACAGGAAATGATGATGAACTGGTAAATGGGAAGGACACAACCACCTTTAAGCAGAGCACTAAATGTCTACTAATTAATTTGATTCAAGTGGTAAATGGACTGAACAAATAACAGCGCTTTTCCAGTCATTTTGACCACTCAAAGCGCTTTACACTAGAGCCCCACATCCACCCATTTGCACTCACAAATGCTCACACATTTATGCACTGATATGGAGATCCAGATGGGCAACTTGGGGCTAAGTCCCTTGCTCAAGGGCATATTAACATGTGACAGGAAGAAGGTGGATTCAAACCTACAACAATCTATTTAATAACACAACACACACAATAATTTATTCAAATTAAGAGTTGCTAGGTGTTACCATTTCACTTCTTAATTAATCGCTTTATCTGAATCCTCAGAATTTCTGGTTATATGGGAAACAATTTTTTTGTATTTTTGCAGATGTACTCAATGGACAGCTCTACAGACAGTGAAGATGAGGGTATTGGCAAAAAAGCGAAGAAGAAAAAGAAGCTGAAAAAGAAGAAGAAGAAGAAGAAGGTAGGTGTTTGATGAATCTCAGTAAAGCATCATAAGGGAAATCGAGACAGAGATTGATGCTTACAAAGTTTCTATTTTGCTTGTGTGTAATATGATGAAATCATGAAAATTGCTGCTGTGGTCACCTTCCTTCGGGTGTGGCTTCGACTGAAACTGTGAATAATTTATTGACAGAGAAGGGGAAGTGTTGTGTTCGCTCCATGTAGCCACGCAACCATTTGTGGGAGATAGATAGCTGATGGAAATCTTTAGTTCAGTGTGTTACAACTGACGGATTGGATCATAGCATAGTTGCCGCAGGTGTGTGTGTGTAACTTTCCATTGTGTGTATAGCAGAGTGTTTGTAGAGCTCCACCCTTCTGCTGCCAGCTACACCCCTACACTCCTCTACCCATCTGTGGCTTATCCTCATTCCAGACTGTTTACTGACTCTTTTACTTGGGTACTAAATATATTTTTATGCAAAATATGAAATGAAGTAACTTCCTTGTACCTTTCTCAACAGGACTCCAGTTCATCATCATCATCTTCTTCTTCTTCCTCCAGTAGTTCCTCAGACAGTGACAGTGAGGTAAGTTGTGCACCAGTTTATGCTGGTCAAGCATTTGGTTGCTGCTTATATTAAAAGAATATTATCAACATTTCTGATGACCGATAAAAACCGATATGTCAACAACACCAAAAAAAAAGACAATTGGCTTTTGTAACCGGCCTCACACACAACCCAACACACTCCCCTGATGAATCCCTTTCTACTAATAAAGGTGAAATAACATTTGTACATACATGGCTGTAATATGCAACCTAAAATAATAAAATATTTATTTGTTTAAAAATGTAAATATAGTGACTGTCATAGGAGAACACACCCCTGACCTGGATGTTTTAGTACTTTTTGACTCAACAATGTTTACCCACTCCAGTAAGGACGTCTCTCAACACCGGCACTCTGAAAGTGACTCCACAGACTTCCTGTTAGATTGAGTTCTGGGCTCAGCTGGGTCATTCCAAAACTTCAACTTTCTTCTGGTGAAATCATTTTTTTGTTGTTGTTGTTGTTTTTTTGTTAGTTTCTATGTATGCTTGGACTCTGAGATGCTAAAAAAAAATGAATCCTCACTTCTTCCTCAACTTGTTGGACGTCACTTTAAGTTCGTGGGTCAAAACCGGCAGGTATTTGGAACAGTTCCCAACTCCAGTTGTCTTGAAAATCTACAGATTACAGCCTTTTTGTGTGCTGTCTACCAGACTGCGCAGCCCTAAAGGACACTCTACATTTTTGTAATAATTTGTACCTGCACCAGCAAGACGTCATATCGTAAAGCTATCTGTTTTTGCCATCAGATGGGTTATATTTTTTTACATATCTAATACCTTCAGACAGACCCTGACATGATGCTGATTCGTACTTTATCCCTCAGGCCCACAGAAACCCCCACCACAACAAATCCACCCCTATGCTTCACTGCTGCTAAACTGCTCACAGTGTTATTAGTAAGTGAAAACACTGACGGTTGGTCAAACTTCCTCAGCTTGTTAGTCTTTCTGAGGACAGTTTTCCAGCTCATTACCATGGTGCTCACTGGTTCAAAAATGCAGTTTTGCTTTAATGTTCTCAGTGGAGAACAGAGTAATTCCCTGTAACTCCTGAGCAAATCAATTCGTACCTTTTCATCAAAGAATGTGTGTACTTTGAAATACAACTTTACATCAATCGTCCACCTCTTGGGCTAACCGCTGGTTGAGTTCCACACTAATCGAAGATTATGATCCTTATGGTGGAGTATTTCATTCAGAATCATTTGGAGAATATGAAATATGTTTCTGCAAGACATTCTGTGAAGTGCTTGTTTAATCCTGGCTCAAAGACCCACATCACATCTGCATCTAGTTCAGCGTGTTTAATGAGATGAAAGTCCACTTGTCTCTCCTTAACAAGATCCTAGCCACAACGGGGGCATCAAATAGACAATCTGTATGTCACTGAGCTTTTTCTGTGCTGGTTGTGAAAACGGCAAAGAAAGTGACACATTTATAACAAATAAGCCTTTTCAAATGAGTTTAAATGTCTAATGTGAACAAAATAGGAGAAAGTCAGCATTCGCCACATGATTCGTCATTCTTGCACAACTAACAAAAACTCCTGCCTTGTAATTCCTCCTTTGCTCTGACATGTCATAACTACATGTTCTCTCCAAAATACCCGTCAGTACTTCAGGATAAATTCCAACAGCACTGATTCCAGTGAGAGAGTGCCCACTTATTTAGGCTTCATTATGCAGTGTGAACCACTAACACTTCCTTTTGAAAACTGAAAGAGAAATTGGTTCTTTCAATCAAAAATGTCCAATTAAAGCTTTTTGTCACAAAAAAAAAAAAAACCATGTAACATCTGCTCCAAGCAGGTGTCAGTCTTTTTAAAGACATTAGGTGAAATGGTACTATTCTTTTGGAATAAAGAAATCTAAAATTTACTGTCATCCATATAATTTATTATGTCTACGTGGCAAATTTAGATTTAACAATATAAATTTGCAACAGGCCACCTATGTTATCGGTTTCAACTTTTAAATAAAATTGTACCTTTTTAATTATATATAAAAAAAAAAATTAAAGTTAGCAGCCTCATCACAGGATAAGATGGCAGGTAGGCTTTTCCTGGAAAATGGGTGGTAAAATAGAAACAACTGGAAAATCCAGTTGAATTGCATGTTCAATTCTTAGAATTGAACACGCAGTTCAATTCTAAGAAGACACGCTGGTTTTAAGGTGTGCAAATTTCTGGCTTTTGTTTCCTCTTAAGCAAGACAGAGGCTCCCATATCTTCTACTTGATATAGCACAAGGCAGCACCAAGGAGAGGAACACACCCAGCTAGAATGTTTGAATCACTCTTTGTAAATCCAGCCTTCCAGGAGGCAGGATGTAAGATTTGATTGCTTTATTTCTGAAGATCATGACCCAAATACCTTAAAATATTGTAGGTTTAGTTTTATGCAGCTGTATGTGTTTTTACATGTAAGCTACGTAACTTCATGTGGAGCCATTTTACCTGCCTGTTCACAGAGATATGAAGTGTTTCAGACTGCAGACACGAAGTTGTCCTGCTCCACCTGACCTTTTTCACATATCTTCATGTTACAACCACATAAGTGATTTATTGTGACTTTTGTGTCTTAGACTAACATGCAGTGGAAGGTAAAACAGATTTTTTTTTTTAGGGCAGAAAGTTTGCAAAAAAACAAAACAACAAAAAAAAAGAAAAATGTGGCCTGCATTTGTATCCAGGCCTCGTACGATACGTTGTAGAACTTGCTTTTCCACAATTGCAGCTGCAACTCATGTATCTATCAGTTTTGCATATCTATAGAAACTATCTTTGCCAACAGACTCCACCTAAGTCAGATTAGATCTGTAGCGTCTGAACATCAATTTTTGACATGATCTCTAAATTAAATCTACACTGCAAAAACACAAAATCTTACCAAAGTATTTTTGATTTGATTTCTAGTGCAAATATCTTAAGACAAGACTAACTTACAAGTAACTTCCCAGCAATACTTTGGAGCTGGTTTTGAGTAAATAACTCCTTTATATTGATTAAAAAAAAAAGTGCTTGTTCCATTGGCAGATTTTTTTCACTTATAACATGGGGAAAAATGTTTGGTTATCAGTGATATTATCTGCCAACAGAACTAGTACTTTTTCATCACTATTGACTCAAAACAAGCTGCTATATAGTGCTGAAAAATTTACTTGTAAGTTAGTTTTGGCTTATTTCAAGTGGACTAAAATATTTGCACTAGAAACTAGAGCAAATACTTGATACGATTTTGTGATTTTTGCAGTGCAGGTCTGGACTTTAATTGGACTATTCTAATGCTTTCATATTCTTTCCTAAATGTATCCACTGTGGCTCTGGCTATAGGTTTAGAGTATTTGTCCTGCTGGAAGGAGACACCACCCTAGTCTCAGGTCTTAAGTCTGGTTATGTTTCAGGACTGTCATGCAATTAGCTTCATCTATCTTCCCAAAAATTCAGACTAGCTTCTGTATTTCTGCTGAAGAAACACATTTTACCAGACCTAATGCTGCCTCCATCATAGATGTGTTCAGGGTGATGTTCAGCTACAATTTTCTGCTCAGTAAAAATCCCACTACAATGTGGTTGTTAATATGGATGGGTAATATGAAAAAAGTTTTCGGTATAACCTTCACTCAAATGACTACAGCCTATTTTACCTTTGTTTTTTGGCTCAAACCAGTAGTTTATTTATTTATAATTCTTTTTCTCATTGTTTTTCTAAGCTAAAGCAGATGTTTACATTCTCAGCCTCCCCTAGATGACCAACACTGATGGATCATAGAAAAAAAAAATCACTTGTAAAATACTGTGCTCCATATTTTGCTACAGGATGAGAAGAAAAAAAAGAAAAAGAAGGAAAAGGAGAAAAAAAAGAAGGTCTGGGAGGGCATCATCGTCTGTCAGGAAGGTAAACATTCACCGATTTCTCCTTGTGCCTTCTCGGATCATAAGCATTCAATGATAATAAACCCCTATCAGATTATAATTAATCCAGTTAATTAAATGCTGCTTTCTGGCTACATTTTGTCCATACAGTTTCTGTGTGAACCTGTGGTCAGGAAACGAATGTTTACTAAAAAATTAACTCTATTTTTTGGAATCTGTGGCGTTGAGGTCCCGAGTGTCTGGAAGAAACTGGAGAAGGCATGCACATGAAGCCTGTAAGAAAAATATCATCAATATTTATATCAAACATGTTTCTCTTAGAACTTTACATGTAATGCAGTAAATGCTGTGTATTCAGGATTACGACTCATCAGATGACGAAAGTGATAAGAAGAAGAAAAAGGATAAGAAGGAGAAAAAAAAGAAGAAAAAGAACAAGGTATGAAAATATCACCCAGCAGATATTCTTGTGATTATGATGCAATAACTAGGTGCTTTTTGAACTTTATGAAATTCCTAACCCACATCTTAATTAAATATAATATTTTGTCCTTTTTTTATCTGCCAGGATTCTTCCTCCTCCTCATCTGACAGTGAAGATGAAAAGAAGAAAAAGAAAAAAAAGAAGAAAAAGGAGAAGGCATGATTTGCTTGTGTTTATCTTGATTTCCCAGTTTGTTCACTAAAATTAAAAAATGTATATATCTCAATTAATTACTGTTTTTTTCAATAGGATTCAAGTTCATCTTCTTCAGATAGCTCTTCCTCCTCTTCTTCATCTGACAGTGAGGATGATAAGAAGAAGAAGAAGAAGAAGAAGAAGAAGAAGAAGAAAAAGAAGAAGGTTAAATGTGGAAACATGTCAATCTCATCCTTGCACCTTCTGTAAAGGTGTGATTACAACTCATTCACTTCTCTTTTCTTGTAGGACTCAAGTTCTTCTTCTGACAGTTCATCTTCATCTGATAGTGAGGATGACAAGAAAAAGAAAAAGAAGAAAAAGGACAAGAAGAAGAAAAAGAAAAAGAAAAACAAGAAAAAGGTTATGTGTCATTTGTAGAAAAGCAGAACTAGATTATATTTGTCTAATTACACACATTGACAACTTGTTGGTACCCCTCTGTTAATGACCGAAAAACTTATCATGGTCACTAAACTAACTTGAAACTGACCAAAGCAAAAATCTACTAAAAATTAACCAATTAAAATCAGACATTACTTTTGAAATGTGGTTCAACAGAGTCATTAAGAAAGTTAATGGAGCATGTGTACATTTACTTTTAAGATCTAGACATTCTCTGAAAACAGTAATGCTAAATGGTTTGTGCCTGTGTAGTGTTTGGGACCCCAAAGAGCTTTGCAGTACATTCAGTCATTCACACGCAGATGGTGGCAGGAGCATTGTAGTCAAAGGGGCACCACCAGGCCCCTGAACCACACCTAGCAGGCGATGCGGATGAAGTGTCTTTGACAAGGACACAACTGAGATACACGGGGTTGAACACTTGCCTCCTGAGCCACCGTCATCCCAAACCCTCAGGGACACACTTCCCCCTTTTGGGAGGATCTAGATTCTCAAAAGTTTCACCCAACATCTCAAGATGACTAAATTTGTTTCAGCCTGTATTTTGATTAATTCCTGTGGCTGGTAATTTTACTGACCTGCAGCTTTTTGCGCTATTATTTTCATTTTCACATTCCCCAGAACCAATTCTTTGCTCTTCAGCTGATTTTTCGTCTTTATATTGGCTAATGCCACTTGTATTGTTAGCTAATTTTAGACAGGTCTCATAATTTTTAAAAATAAATTAAGTATTGATGTTTTTTTTTTTTTCTTAATTCATGCAGGATTCCAGCTCTTCGTCTTCATCCTCTGATAGTGAGAAAGACAAGAAGAAGAAAAAGAAGAAAAAGGATAAGAAAAAGGCAAATCTCTTCTTTTATTGTGCAAACTGAATGCCCCTGCTCATGAACAAGGCTAACTGTTGTTGTAATAAGCAGCACAAGGTTGTGTTTATCTTGATGCTGTTGCTGTGGGGTTAATTGTGGGTAAAATTTATTTTACCCACAATCATAGGTGCTCTCTGCGGAAGCACCTATGATTGGATGAATTGCTTTAAACAAGCACCTAAATTAAAAAAAAAAAAAAAAGGTTTGTTTATGCATTCAGGTTTCTCCAGGTTTCATATTCACAGCAGTAATATTGGACTTTGAGGTCAGGGTTATTTGAAATTTCTGCTTATATTCGACATTTATTGTTCACATTTACAACTTCTTCAGCCTGTGAATCACTGTCAATGAATGAGAATATCATAACTTTACAACCAAGTTTTGGTTAAATTCATGCTTTATTGCTGTTTCAAAATGTTAGTCCAAATACTGGTGCCCATCACATGAATCTGCCTTACATTTCAATGGTAATAGATTACACAATGCAATGAGGAAATAATGCATAATTTTTAATCTTATTATACAAAATTTGAGCATGGTTGCCATAGATTAAAAACAAAAACAAAACAGAAAACGGATGTTGGGTGCAGCAACAACATGCCACATGCACCAAACCTTTAAAATCCTGCAAAAGTGACTAATTTGTGCCTCAGTTATTATAGCAATGATCCAATAATTAAGTGACAGGATTTTATGAAGATTCACCAACCTGTCGGTGTTAGATGCTTGACATTGGAAGTGAAACTGACGGCTAGACTTTTGTCCTGTTTAATTTCCAATCTGACCTGTTAGAAGCACTAATGAGACATTCTCAGATGTTCAGTGTATTGTTAAATAAAAAAATAAATACATAAAACAAGGTAATGGCATCATAAGTAACATACCCAGTTGATACTAATGGAGCTGAAGAATAAAAATTCCACTCTTCTGAGTTCTTATATTTGCTGTTTATATGTTTTAGTGCATTTTTTAGCACCTCATCTTATATTCTGACTCAGTTTAATTAAGCAACTTTGATCTTGATCTTGTGTGATTCTCTCAGGATGAAGAGCAAAAAGACCCCAGCAGTGCTCTTTCAGGTGAAGGTGAGAAATGTACACACAGAGAACAAAACACAAATAAACCAAGCTGATTTAAGTGCATCAGTGTGATCAACCGGCTTATGTTTTACGCTGCAGGTGGTGAGACAGGAGCTGGTGGAGGCAGAGATGCTGACAAGGTGGAAAATCTTGCTAACACCACATACATGATTACGAATGCTCATTCAGTGAAAATCATTGCTATATTGTTTGTTTTTTGTTTCTTTCTGGCAGGACAAAGAGCTTACATCAGCAGTAGAGGGCACCCTCTCCACCACACAAGCTGGTGGGTGTGCAGCTCTCTGGGTATCAACCTGATCAAACTGCTCCATGAAGAATTGTTTTGAGGTTGCTATGATGTCTCCTGTTCCCTAGGGGGAGCACAGCCATTTCCTTCTGGCATTGAGGATGGTCACCTGAGTGATGATGAGGGAGAAGGAAGGAAAGAGGACAAAAAGAAGAAGAAGTTGAAGAAGAAAAAGGTGCATTAGATTTGTTTTAAGGAGAATTGCTTTAAAAATAACAAGAAGCTACAAGAAGTGCACCATTTTTATTACACATTCTGTAAAACAGTTGTATTTACAATATTGTGATTTTTTTTTTTCTTGCTCACAGGAATCTTCCAGCTCCTCTTCGTCTTCATCTGATAGCTCTTCCGACAGCGAGGATGAAAAGAAGAAAAAGAAGAAGAAAAAGAAGGATAAGGTTTGCATTCTGTCTGCTTCTTCACAAGAAGTCATCTTGCATTTTGCCTTATATCATTGGTTTCCCTCTTTCACAGGATTCTAGCTCTTCTTCTTCATCTTCCTCCTCTGATAGTGAAGATGAAAAGAAAAAGAAGAAGAAAAAGAAAAAGATGAAAAAGAAGAAAGATAAGGTTTGCGACAAAAACATGCATTGATGTTTGAGAGGTTCTGGTTCACGCTTCACTTTTGGTGTTCTTCCTTCATAGGATTCCAGCTCTTCCTCATCCTCAGACAGTGAGGACGACAAGAAGAAGAAGAAGAAGAAGAGAAAGAAGACAAAAAAGAAGGTTGGATAGTCTTTAGGGACGATGTTTTACTTGATTCTTGAAAGTAGAATAAAATGATCATTTTTTTTTCTTCCTTTGCAGGATTCGAGTTCATCTTCTTCATCATCATCTTCTTCGGATAGTGAGCATGACAAAAAGAAGAAGAAGAAAAAGAAAAAGAAGACCAAGAAAAAGAAGGATAAGGTTTGACCATAGCCCTTCTGTTTTGTCTTGGCTTTATTTAGGTTTTCATTGTGATACGAATAACAGACTGCGCTAACATTGGTGCTTTTGACAGGACTCTAGCTCTTCCTCTGACAGTGATGATGACAAGAAAAAGAAGAAGAAGAAGAAAAAGAAGGTAGAGAGAGTCCTTTTGCAATGCTTCATCCCTTCCATCATTAACTTGCTCAAGATTTAGGATAGTGTTTTCAACTATCTTTTGGTATTTTTCACAGTTTTTGTTTGTTTGCATTAAGACAAATTATAGTTGGAGAAATCTAGATAATACAAAGTTAAAATATTTTTCACCAGCGTCCCTTCCACCTCGACCACCCACCCCGCTCAAAAGGTTTTCAGTTTTCCAAAGGAAAATCACTGCCTATATAGTTAAAAACAAGCTCCTATCCTTAGAAATATTATTTTTAGTTGCCCATATGTTTTGTTTCTCTTTGAGCTGATTGAATCGTCAGCTTCCATTAGCTTCATAAGCATCTTTAGCTCCATTGTCACAAATGTATCGTGATGCGTCTCAAAAAGGCCTTCATTGGCAAGATTAAAAATACTCTACCTGTAAGTCACATAATTGAAATAATCTACAATAAATAGTGTTTTCATTCCCAAAACTGTAAAGTCTGTACAGTCTGACAAAAAGTATGCATGTACTATGGAAACAGTTGCTGAAGTTACAGAGCAATGCAGCCAAAATATTTAAATTTTGAGGTTAAAAAGTCAAAAACACTGATGGATAATTCACACTTTAATCAACACTTAAACTGAAAATCAGTACTTGACATTTTTAACGTGATAGTAGTTATAATAGCCATTAATTCTTCACCAATTACACCCAATATATATTTTTCTGTCCTGAACAGGTCTCATTCTATAGAAAGACAGACCAGATGTAAAATTTGTAGTGAGCGCTGACTTTCCAACAGGTGGAAACTGCTTCTGAAAACTATTCACTGTAACAACCACTATGTCACTATGTATGTGTCCATCATGCAGAGGCTTTGTAAATCTAACCATGTGATTGATGTCATTCCCAGTCCTCCAGCTCTTCTGATGAAAGCTCTTCTTCTTCTTCTTCTGATAGTGATGGCAGCAAGGTATGATGTGCAGTTCTAAAATCAAACATACAATGAAACAAGATTGTTTCACCACTATTTTCTCATTGTAGAAGAAAAAGAAGCACAAGAAAAAGAAGAAGAACAAGAAAAAGAAGAAAAAGAAGGTGACCGATTGATCATTCAAGTATCTGTGTGATTTACTTGGTTCACCGAAAAGACTAAAAATGCATCAATTGCTATGTCCATCCAGGATTCTTCTTCCTCCTCCTCTTCTAGTGATTCTTCTAGTGATGATGACAAGAAGAAAAAGAAGAAAAAGGACAAGAAGAAGAAGAAAAAGAAAGACAAGAAAAAGGTTTGATTAAAAAAAGCTTGTTGAGGTGCTGTGCAATGAACAGGAAACTGAAATCCAGTTTTAATTCTGTGTTCTCATTCAAGGACTCAGATTCTTCTAGCAGTGATGATAAGAAGAAGAAGAAGAAGAAAAAGGACAAAAAGAAAAAGGTATTCTGTTGGAAAAAAAATGTGGGTTTGTTTTTTTTTTTTTTTGAAGGCCAGATGAAGGAGTGTTGATCTGTTTGTGTTTGAGCAGGACTCATCCAAATCATCCGACAGCGACAAGGAGAATAAAGAGGAGAAGGACAAGCAGGTAAAGAGAGTCCTTAAATGGACATGTCATCAGATTGTCCCGATTTCAAAGAAAAACATACGACCTGTTTTTTTTCTGCTTTTCCAGTTAGATTTTTGGGTTGTTTTTTTTTTTTTTTTTTAAAGGCTGGTGTCATTTACATTCTAGGAAAGCCCTGAAGGTGACCAAAGCAGTGAGCCCAAACCAGAGTCTTCAGACTCGAGCGTCAGTTTACCTTCTTCCTCCGGCGGTGTCAGCTCTGCTCAGAGCGGCACCGGATCCTCGTCCTTTGTGTCTCTCTCCTCCACGGTGAAGATGGATCCTCCGAAACCTTCAGCCACCTATAAGTTGTCATCTGCATCCAGCGGCGCTAGCTCTGATCGGAGCAGCACGGGGTCCTCGTCCTTTGTGTCACCTCCCTCTGCTGTGAAGACGGATCCTTCACCCACCTACAAGTCGCCTTACACCAGCACCAACCTGACCGTTGGAGACAAGGCTCCAACTCACAGGTCCAAAAGCCCCATGGAGGCCTTGATGGGGAACCCCAGGAGGTATGGAGATGGAACGACCAGAACCACCACCACCCTCTCCTCAAGTGACCTCCTGAGAGGCCCCAAGCCTTACCAACCATGACATGACCAGATGAAAGCAGTGCTGATCAATCTAGATCAATGCTAACAATGCTTTTGGGTATGTTTTATGGCCGTTTCAAACATGGTCATTGAATATACGTGCAAGTCAGCTCTGTTGGCTTCTTGAGAGTTAACACTAATAAAAACTAATAATAAAAATAAAAAAAATTGTTGGGGTTTTTTGAACATGAAAATGCAGGAAAATTTCACTATTAACAAGCAAAATCTCAACTGCATTAAAGAATTTCAAATGGTTTGGACAATAAAACTGTGGTGTCATTATTTTGTGTTTATTGTACCCCCACAATTACACATGCAAGACTTTTGGAGAATTGTGTGCATCAGCTTGGAACATCCAGGATGTGCTAAACTGATTTAAGATATAAACATTGCATGGCAAGTTCTTCTTTTCTTTGGAACAAAGGACATTTTAGATATGTAGAAAATCTGATCTGACTAGTTTTGCTACAGGAAAAAATATTCTTTGGTCTAAGCTATCCAATGTTAGCCCCGTTTCAAGTCTTTTACAGCCTCTGATGGGATATTATGTTGTCCTATAGTTCCATCCATCCTCTTGTCAGCTCTGAACAGTTTCACCATTTGATGGCAATACTACAACATTGTGCTGCCACTAACATCAGTGTGGGGTTTGGTGTGCTATGATATGACGTGTTAACTACTGCTTTCAAGAAGTAAACTGCTGCAAATCAGCTAATAAAAGTTCTGCCAAAAGATTTCCCAGCCTTCACTGTGGATCTCTGCAGCTCATCGATAGATACAATCAATGTATGATTCTCTTAAAAAAAAAAAAAAAAATCCTTGCCCATCTTGTCAGCTTTGGTGTAAAGCTTGGTAGCTTTGCAGTTGTGTCATGTCCTTTCACTTTTTAATTGAATAACTGAACCGTGATCAGTGAAATATTCAAAGCCTGCAGGATTGACTCTTATCTAAAGCTCTCTGCAACTTTATCCCTGAGCTGTGACTTATGTTGGACCATCATCCTGCTGAAATATAATTTTACGGTATTCTTACTTAAAATATAATATGTTAAACAGTGTAGCCTGTCCAGTAAAACAATGCCCTAATGCCTTTCAGAAGCAAACTCCACCAACAGCTTCACAGATCCTCTGCGTTACTTAACAGTGTCCATCTACAGCCAATAGTAAAACATTTTTCTAAATATTTTGCAGTGAGATATTGCCATAAAAAATTATTTAAAGACTTTTAACACTACTGTACCAATGTTTCCAATGAATATGGAAGTCGATGTGTGCAGCTGTGCATTTCATATCTCAGCATCTTGAATATTATGTTGAAAACCACACAGACGTGACGTGTGTCTGTTCGCCCGGGGCACCAAACAGTCTGGGACCGCCCGTGTTAACGCAGCACAAATATGCACAAACAAATCAGCAAAACATTATTCTGCATAATAGCAGCTTAAATGTTCACCTTAAACCCTCCAAATACATTGCGCATTAGCGCAGAACTGAAATTTCTTCCATTTTTGTATCTGCATGAATGTTGAATAAATCCGGCAATTATTCAAAATTCTAAGATGAACCTAGCTTAACCTAAAGTAGCCCCGTTTTTCTGTTGCGACTCGAAATAACTTGTCCGACAGCAGCAGCACACGGGCTGTTACGAGGGCGGGGCTCTAGTTGAATACTTTAGGTGCGCCACAAACAGATTTCCTGTAAATTGGAAAGGTGAACTTTCAGCGGCGGCAAAGCTCGGAAAAACACACCGACAAAATGAGTTTCGATCTTTCTTCAGGTATGTATAAATCTATGACACATTATACTTTTCACTATCCCTTGCAGATATGTATCCGTCTGTAATTTCTGGGACTTTATTAGAAAAATAAAAAGAGATTTGTGCAACAAATCTCTTTGTTACGCAATGCTTTTCCTCGAAAGTCTTTGTTATTGGCTATGTCTGTTTTCAAACTACCTCATTTGCAGCTGCGGGTGAGGAGAAGATAACGAAGGAGGACGCACAGAAGGATGAGTTCAGCTTACCTTGGAAAAAAAATAAAGATAAAAAGGTAAGAGGTATTTGCAACTAGTCGCTACCAGGAGCAGGATTTTTTTCTTTCTTCTTTTTTTCATTGGCTGAAATCTACAAGGAAATGCTGCGGATTTGTGTTTACATTTGTCATTTGAAAATGCATCCATGTTTTACACGTATCTGGAGGCTTTTGAGCAGTGCAGGTCTCGCTCTGTTATATGAATCGTGTACCCCAAGAGCCATCATTCATCAGTTTGATCCTGTGCAAACTCTTTCTGTTCTCAGGGTGACAAGTCCGATAGCAAGGACAAGTCTGATCACAAGGAAAAGTCCAAGGACAAGTCTGATCACAAGGAAAAGTCCAAGGACAAGTCTGATCACAAGGAAAAGTCCAAAGACAAGTCTGGTCACAAGGACAAAGATGGTGAAAAGAAGAAAAAGAAGGAAAAGAAGGAAAAGAGAGGTTCCTCATCTTCCTCTTCATCTTCCAGCGGTGATGAGGTAGAGTATCCCCACTTATTTGATAACTAAATATCTGGTCCTGTTTGCTCTGAAGAAGAACTTTACCAGATGTTCAATTCTAATATTTTTAGAAAGCATAGAAAATCCAATGAAATGCAGCTGAACATGCACCATGTCGCCACACCTGCAGTCACAGGTTCACAGCAAAATCATTGTTTTCTAGCCTGTGTGTACAGCATCCATAACTGGTCTTACTGGTGTTGCACATTTTATAATGCACCACACCCCATATGTTTGCATACTCTGTGTATGGATGAGTTCCTATCATTCAGAATCTACAGATTGATGAGTGGCGGTTACCCAGCCCATAGTGGGCGGGAAGTAGCCAGTTTAACAGTCGTGAAAGGAATGTTGTCTGACAGCTGTTAATTCCCTACTTCCCTTTTGTTTGAACCCGACTAGATTAATAAAGTAAATACGGGAGTTATGAATCTCTTTTGTTTTCTTTCTTACTGTATCTTCTCCAGTAACATTTGCTGTCATTTCAGGAATGATCTCCCCTGTGGACCTGGCCTGCTCTGTTTGCCACTCCATTCTTGTTTGTTATAATGGTGTATGTGGTTTATCTGTACCAACCTGTACACAATGTGAAACAAAACTGATCTGAAGAAGTAAACGGTTACAAGAAGTCTATTTGCTTCGTATTTCGCCGTCTGTGTTTTGATCTCGCCACAAGATGGCAGTGGCTGCTATTTTTTTAAAGTCTGCAGAGGTTTGATGTTAAAGTAGGAATATACGTTGTAGAACTGAATAGAGTAGTTTCACATTAATTATAAAATCTACTTGGTTAAGTGTAAAAATAAAACGGTTTGACTTCTGGAAATTGGGGAGGATACTGAGCAGGAACGGTGACTAATGCGATGACATCCATAAATGAGCAACCTATGAGTGGTTCCTATAAACTAAACATTTAAAAGGAGATACATTTTTATCATAAAATTCCCACATCACTTGATCTATAATTATGCTTTTGTTACAAAGTTCCATCAATTTTTACTTATCAATCCACTGATATTGCTCATGCTTGCTTTAATATTTCCATCTGGTGACTATAATCTGTATTTTTAGGTGCTGGTGGTCAGCCAGCTCAGAGCTTTTCAGATGCAGCCATACTTCCTGAAACTTTCCACATTTTCTTATGTCCCAAAAAGAAACTTCAATGTATTTTATTTGACTGATGTGAATTACTGGTTTTAATTCGTTTCTTCCTAGCAAATCTAAATGTGTATGGGATTTTTATTCTTTTTACTTGGATTCCCCTCAGTCAAAATCTGTTCTTTTAACCTTCATGAGAATTTCTGTTTTACCAGTCTAATCTAGCGAACCTCGGAACCATTCAAAGTGCATCATTTTTATACCAAGATTAAGCTGCACACCTGTTGGCTCTTTTTACTAATTCACTGACAGGCGAGGGGAAATGATTACACTAGATTTTACTTAGGGGTATCAGGGTGAACATTTCTAATGTAATTGATTCCCACTTACCGAACAAGCCTGCATTCATTTATCTCTCAATAAAATACAATGAAGTTTATGGTTGGGATGCAACACTGTGGGTAAAGAGCCTCCTGGAGGTCTCTTACGAAATATTACGCTGGACATTAACAACAGTTGGATAAAGCTATGCATTTAATGTTTAAATCGGTCATCCATATTTAAACGTTTTTTGTTTAGAAAAAAAAAAAGAAATTCTAGGGGAAATGGCTTTTTTCCCTACAATAATGCAATCAGTTATTTTTATATTTGAATGCCAACTAACTCCTCAGTGAGGTTACTGGGACTGCTGATTGTAAGGATGTGGATTGAGAAATTCATGAGGTGAACAATACTTTCTCATTCTGCCACCCTGCAGCTTTCGCCAATCTGTAAACAAAGGCCAATGATTTCCGTCTAGGCAGCAGAGGATTTGAGTCCCTTTTTTGATGCCCAAGCTTTTGCACCACAGTCAAAAATCCTCTTTTTGCTCCACTAATATGCTCTTGCTGTTTCAAGAATATTTTTTTTTGAAAAATGTTTAACCATTATGCTTTCTATAATGGATTTTACTTTAAATATCACGGCGGCCTCACCATGAGCTTGTAGTGCGGTGTGACCTATTTAGAGACACCAGTGGTCCATCAAAGAAGATGATAAAGTATCTAAAAACAACTGACTGTGGAGAAAACATTCCCAGAGAAAGGGTGCTGAAAGCTTTCAAAGTCATTCTGAAAACATCCATCAGTTGTCTATACCTGCTTATCTATATGCAGGGTTGTGGAGGGGCTGGAGTGCCCTTAAGTGATCATTGGGTGTGAGACGGTTTACCCTGTCTCACGCTGTCAGGGCAACACAGAGACACGCATACTGTAGGATAGACATCCATTCAAATGTCCATTTTGAGAAGCCAATTAAACAAACAGTCGTGTTATTGGAATGTGGGAGGAAATTAGAGAAAACTCACATCTGGAAACGGAGAACGTGGAAACAACATGAAGACCTGAGGCTGGAATTCAAACTGAGAACCTTCTTGCTGCGCCAACAAACAGCCCAACCTGAAAATAGTGGGCAATATTTTTTTTTGCAAAAATGAGTTGCTGTCATTTATCAACTATACATTTAGTCCCATATTTTGTTATATATTAAAAAAAAACAACAAAAAAACAAAAAAACAACTAGGAGTTTTTGGTATTATGTGGGAAAGCTTCTGATTAAATAATAGCCTTTTAATATTACAGGGCGACGCTTAGCTTTTCAGAGAAGGCAATGTTTTTTATTTCAATATATTTAAGCATGACTTTTCCATTTTGCATTATTTATACCTCAGATAGTTTGGAAAAAGGACAGTTTAGTAAGTTTTAGGAGAATTCTTCAATGCAGTAGCTTATAAGTAACCCTCCAAGGTTATAAGAAAGTGCTTTTAAAATACTTGGGCGTCTATCAAAGTTGTACCCGTGCCACGAAAAAATCCATTGAAGACCAAAGGTAAATGTTCTGATGCCAACAAAGGTTCAACAAGTCAAAGCCAATGCAACACAGCACAAAAAAAAACAAAGGCTTAGTTGTTTACTTGACATCAATATTTAGGCTACAGTAAACTCCATGACAGATGTCCAGAGGAGACTTGCAGCATTTAGCAACAAGGATCTCCTTCAGGTCTTCTGAATCTTTTATGCGAGGGGGGGTGGAATAAAAGAAAAATGGAACGGTTTCAGAGACGAATCAATAATAAATCAAGCATGCATCTTTTCTGGGGCTGCTGAAGAAGCCCAATTTAACCCATCCATCATGTTCAGAGCTGTGTTTCTTATTTAAATCTGTAAGGGGAGTATTGAAAGCAGCAATCAGAAGAAAGGCTTACAAGAACATTTCTCCAAAAGAATTGATATGGCCAGAAGGTGTGAGCGTAAGCCGGGTCAAAATGTATTTCTCATAAATCTTGTCCTGTGGCGTGTCTTACACTTCTCGGCTTGTGTTGGTTGTTGTTTAATTTCCTTCTGCGATTTGCACAGAAAATTTATTTAGCATGTGTTCAGAAAAATCAAAGAAAATTTCAGTTATGGATTACCAGGCGTGTATATAAGACATGTGCTTTGAAAATGTTGCACAAATTTATTTTAAAAATAATTCACAACACAAATGAAATTAATGGTAAAATTATTTGTAAAAATGAAAGACAATACCTGTAAGCTGAATATCTGGTTTTAGCTATGCAGTTGTCAATGATGCGACTTTTATTAAGATATTTTTCTTTTAGTTATTTTCCTTAGTGCACTTTTGGAAATGATTTCCCATTCCAATTTTAATTAAATCAATAAATGAAGATAATGTGTAACTAAAGGATTCAAGTAACACCTCCAATAATGGTCTGTTATGTATTTCAAAGTATATTTTATGCTTCTATTAAGTCTGATCTATAAAGTCTGATCTGACTCATGATTTTATAGTCAACATTTACCTTACAAACAAGTATTTGGCTCAGAAAAGTGTTCTTAAGCAAAGAGTAAGACTCCTTACAGGTGCAGAAAAGTGCATTCTGGTTGAAAGAAGAAAGTTGGGCAAACATTTGAAACTTCAACGAAACCAGCATCCCCTTGTGGCGGCTCAAGGTTATAACATTTTCACTTCAATCTTAAAATATAGCAGCTGCAAAGACACATGGCCAGATTCACTTTTTGTCAAGCAAGATTGAGTCACTGCAGGAAGTTAGATGAGAGGCAGTTTACAACTATTGTTACCTGACGTTTGGAAGAGGTGTTTATTAATTATTATTATTATTATTATTATGAACTGACAATTTTCAATAGGTCTTAAACATCGTTTTTACTGTGAATATGGCTGTTTTTTTATCTAGAAGTAAAACGTAGTCACATTGATAGATTTTCTCATAAAATTAGTTGAATGTTGTAAATCTACTCCTGAAAGAGAACTTCCACTTGTCTCACTCAGCTTGTAGAGTGAGACAAGATATCCTCCCATTCACCTGGATGTGATCCAGCACAATGTGTATTGCTTTGTCTTTGAAACTTGCACAATTTACAAAAAAAGTTGCAAAATCTTTAAAACAGCAACTGATTCTTCAGTGTGTGCGTGTAGGTCTAAATCTTCTATCTGAAATGCTGTGAAAAGGAAGGATGTAGACAGCGATGCAAAAGCCTCAGGGCATTCTTCAGATGCTCCGACCCTAATATGTCTATTGTCTGAAATCCTGAAGACAGGGTGGAGGGATAGTTTTACATTCATTGTGTGGTTTTTCTCTTTGATAATAGTCATTCTCCAATTTTCTAAAACCCAAATTAGTGAGGAGCTACAAACAAAAAAACACTGCAGCTGTACCCTTATGTTTGCATGCGGGGAAAACTTCCAGACTGGTCATGCTGTAACGTTTAAAAGATCCCAGCAGTCATTTGGTGTTGAGGTGAGCCAAGTGTCATCAATGGATCAGAGTGATTAGAGGCCTGAATGCAGGTCCTTTGATGGCGTCTTCTTTGTAGCGTACAGTATTTCAATCACTCACGGCATGCTTTGGTCTCTCTTACCCCCCACCTCCTGCAGTGGTAAACAACCCACCTCACATTTCCTGCAGAGCAAGCATTGCAGAGTTCACCTGAAAAGCTGCATGTTGCACTGACACTGCATTGATATTTACATTACAAACTAGGAATAATGACTCAGATATGAGGGCCTAATATAGCAATCGTGATCAAAGAAGCCACTGAATTTTGTGTGTATGGCAAAAAAAGAAAAAAAAAAGAAAACAGTTACACAGCAGAAATGTAGCTCTGATTTATTAGAGTTTATATTTGTCATTGTTATTTATAGCAACACTAATTTAAATGTGGCATGAAACTAAAGCTGTAGCACAATGTGGGTGTCAAAAATTACTTTGTTTATAAGTATTCTATTCTATTCTATTCTATTCTATTCTATTCTATTCTATTCTATTCTATTCTATTCCAGTGTTCTCAGTCGTACTGTGCGCGCGCCGCAGGAGGGCATGAACGTCTCCCTCTTGTCTAGCGTCAGCGGTCTCCCAGCAACAACCGGGCTCGCGCTCATCTCAATCATCCGCAGCTGAGCGAAGTCAAGCCGCGCAGACTCACTCGCGCTGAAGTGGGCCGGCGGAAGTGTTGCCTAGAAAATAAACGCCTTTCTAGTTCAACCTTTCTTCGATTGATTCTGCCCAGACGGCTTGCTGTCGTGACATTACGTTCCTTCAAATAAAGTATAAGGTTAAGACGCTCGGCCCGTACATTAGCCTTGCAGGTCCTATTGGTTTAAGCTAACGGATCCTACATACACCCAAAACAGGAGGCACAGAAATAGGTAATAAAAATAGTTCAATTAAAACAACTTGTTTTCATTTCAGATATATTTAGACTGGATATGTCTTGAAGGAAACGCCTGGGACAAACTTTCACACCGCATATCCTTGTTATCAGCAGAGAAGGAAATTTGACATGTTTCTTCTTTTGCCCTTTAAACTGTTTGTGCACAAAAATAATACCAAATCAATGCCAGATATAGAAAGTTTAAGTTGTCATTGAAAACCTGCAGACAAGCAAGGTCCCTCACTGCACCACTTTGGACAATTTTGTAGCCATAAAAGTGCAAAAATAAATCCATTTCAGACGTAGGAGGGTTAAACAAAATGTCAGGATTTGCCCAATAAAATTGATGTAACAATTTTCATTTTGCAATTGCATATGTGTTGAATTCCAACAAATTTGTTTCAAATGTGTCATTCCTAACAATTTCACTTGAATCAAAAATTATTAGATTACTGTAATATTAAAAAAAAAAAAGTTGAAAAAATTGCTTGGTAGATATTTTAATTATTAAAGGACAAAATGTCAAGGGCAAAAAAAACATGTTTTCTGATTACAGAGCATCTTCTCTATCCTAACACACACCAGGATCAAGCCTACTTTTTTATAGGGAGTTTAGACAGTAACAGTAAGGCATCTCTGAGATTGTGAAGATACAACTATGAAGTAATATTATGCTAAATATAGGTATGCTTAAAAAAATACAGAAAGTTAATTAGAATAACAAACACCGTAGTACAACTTAAATTGACTGGTCGGAGAACTTTAGGCTTTGACTGCATAATTCTGCAGGGCGTCTTTTATTTTGAAAAGCACATAGCGGAACTGGTAGTGCCTCTCTTTCTGGCCAACTTTCTTGGAGGTCCGCTCAGCCAGAGCGGAGCAGACGAGAAACCATGGAGCGCAACAAGACGCGTCGGAGAGACTCAGCAAGCGGACGGGAAAAGTGCCAGCCTCGGAGCCTTTTCTAGGTCTCTTTCGGCGTCAGCAGGCAGATTTGGGGACGTCAGTGGGTGGACTCTGACTTCTGTGCAGGCGTGCGTAAAAGTGACTGGAGAGGTGCCGGTAGAGAAAAACAGTCTTGGAGTCACCGTCAGCTACCAACGGATAAGGAACGGTCGAGGAGAAGTGATCATAAGGAATCTGGAGTAGAGAGAGTATATAGTGACGCTGTGTTTTGTGTTTTCAATCATGTTTGAGGAAAAGACACGGGGGTGCGCTGCGTAAAGTCACAGATTTGTGTCCCATGTCGGTACAAGGAGCGGCTACTTTCCTTTAAGGAATCTGCGAATCTGCGAGAGTTCTGCCAAGAAACAAGCTCTGAACTTATAGTGAGAACGAGTCTGTGAAAACTCCAGAACCATGGTGAAGTTTCAGAACTCAGACCTGTGGATAGCCTGGATGGTTATCTTCTGCATGGAGGGTAAGTTGTGTGGCACTTCTGAACTTGCTTACTTACCCCTAACACCTTACTCTAGTTGTAGATTTACAGTGATGATAGGAAATGCTCAAAGAGGGCAAATCCTCCTGACAAAACTTTCTGCTTCTGCGCAGCTAAAACAGATCCATGTGGAATTAAACTATGTCAAACAAACAAACAAGGGGATAAAAACCCGTGCCACAGCCGTTTGATCCCACCCTTCCCTATTGGAGTCTGTGTGGATCAAGCAGACAAATCCCTGGCAGTTCCACAAAAACTAAAGTCCACATTTTCAAGCACTTTCGTCTCTCTCTCTCTCTCTCTCTCTCTCTCTCTCTCTCTCCCACACTAGTCGCCATGTCCTTTCTGTCCAAAGCGCTTTTGATTGTGAACGTCTTATCTCTAATGCGCTCTGCTGCGCCTGATATCGCCTTTGCTCGTCTTACACAACAGGATGTCTAAAATTATTATCTATTTGCGTGTCAAATCACGCAGTCGTCACTGATACACATGGACAGGCGTGGTTACAGTGGTGGTGGGACCGTCCGGGGTTTGAAATAGAAACGGAGCAGACGGTGGAGGGTTGCGCTGGTAATCCGTCCGATTAACGAGAAGTAGGCTATGGTGAGCAGCAGCAGCGCAGGAGAGCGCGCCGGGCCAGGCGTCCCCGGAGAAAAACCACTGTGTATTCCTGCACTTCTCCAGAGGGAATTACACGATTTGCGTGTGCAAACATTGTGCTTCTTTGCTGACCTCTCTTTACTTCTTAGTTGCGGGGTTAGTACATTATTCCTGCCGAATAATCCAGCGACATTCCTCCGTTGCACGTTAAGTAAGGTTGTTCCACTTTTGCTGTTTGTATAAACTAGCAAGCCCAGAATTAAACACTTTGTATTACAGAGCGGCTTTAGCTACAAAAAAAACAAACAAACAAACAAAAAAAAACTAAAATAAGATAATAATTATTACTACAAAATGAGTCTACTTTATTAAGTAAAAGAAGATATTAATTATTCCTCCATCATTAGCCTAATTTATTACATATAATTTATTAATAATAAGAAAGAATCCTCTAGCTTATTCATTGCAAAAGAGAAAGAAATGCTTGAACTCCCTCATACCTATGGACTGGTACGATAACCTTAGGTAAAAATGCGACATTGCATGAACACAAATGTTGAAAGTAATTGCACATATTCAGAGGGAAATCTGAAGTGCTTATTCCACACAACAGTAACTGAATTTTACCATTCTTTTCCATCTGTTCCTGGAGAAGAATTACCTTAATAATGCAAAAAGAACTGATCGACATCTTTACGTTCCACAGCACGACTATGATTTTTTTTCCAGATAAAACTGATAAACTTGTCCTTCTTGTAAGTGTTGTCGCTGTCTTTCATCCACCGTCTGTCAGTGTGCAGAAACATTTGGGTGAAAGGCTGGGGAAAGCTTTGCATTACTCTCCATAAGGCCTGAGAGGAGTCCAGGCCACTCATACGCTTTCTCCGGAACCTCATTGACAGTATGTTTAATTCTAGGAACATCATATGCCTAAAGAGTTTTAGGCACTTTTAAAAAAAAGCTTGATACCGGTAATCTCCCCCCATGTCTGTCTCAGAGTCAAACACCTTGGATTCAATATTTTCTCTGAAAGACACACTCCCTTTGCCACGATGTGTGAATCAGAGAACTAAAATTGAATCTAATCCTTATCAGCCAGGTGTTTCACCCTGCTGTTCCCTTTTATTTTTAGCTGTATACCTCTGCTGACAATGTACTTTCTTGTGCCTCTGCAGCTTTACTCACATGTGGGTAAAAATGCATAATTTGATTGTTGAGATCAGTATTGGCCTATAAATGAACAAGAGCATTACCTATGTTTGTTCTCCCGCTGCATCTGTTCCTCTAGAGATCAGGATCCACTAAGATAACTAAGTGCAAATTAAATCATTTAGGACTCCAGTGTGAGCTCTATTAACAGTCCAACTTGTTTATGGTCAGCGCTTCTTTCCTCTTCTCACGTCTTCCAGTGTTTCTATAAATAAGCTCTGATGCAGCAAAGCCAGTATTGATTGTTGTTGCTTGTTTTGGCAGCATGTACTGACCTCCACCTTTTTTTTTTTTTCACGCCAGACATTGTCACTAGAATAATTTGATCAGTTCCAATAAGTGTAAGCGGACACTTCATTGTTTGGGGGTTTCTTAGCAATGAGAACTGAGAGGATTCACTCCCGTTTAATTGTTGTTGATCTCTGTTGTCAACCGCTAGACTGGAGGAGAGGAATGTTGTTGAAAAACTGAAAGAGGAAAAGTTTTGAAAAAAAATAAATAAATAAAACTGTCAGTGACCTAAACAGAACTCCTTACTGACTCAGCTTAGCTCATCGCTGGTTCTTCCAAGCTCTCAGCATTAGTTAGAGGACATGTCATGTTCTCTTTAGCCGTCATCGCTCCCAAGTTACTCATAAATATTCTATTTTCATCTCTGAGTTGGTTGCATTGATGGAAAGTTGACTTTCCTACTATTTCCTACTATTTAAAAGATTTTAACATTTTGACTTATTATAATAATAATCATCAAACTGTTATATTTAGATGTTATGCACATTAATTTTTTTGGCACCCTTCTGTTGCCAAAGTGCTATTATTATTTTTTTTTTCTTTTTAACATGATTCTGTTGAGCCACTTTTAAAAAGCAACGTTTGATTTCCAATGAATAATTTTCATAGCATTTTATTTATTATTACTTTTGTCTCGTTCACGTTATTTCAGTGACCAGTGGGTTTTTCAGTGATAAACAGAGGTCCAACAATTTTGTCAACATGTATGCCACCGACCATTTTACAGGAAAAATTGTGCCATGTAGATGTGTAAAGACGGTTCAGACTAACCCAAAATTCTTGGAACTGTAACGGTACAAAGTGTTTCTCAAAAGAATTGAATTTGGGGCTGGTGTTTACGACGGTACACCAAATTTTCTAGCGACTAAAGCGTAAAGCGACTGAGAACCTCTTGTCATTTTCCTTCCGCTTTTGAATTTTGCACTACATTGTGCTGGCCTATCACTCAAAATCCTAATGAAATACATTGAAGTCTGTGGCGGCACCATTAGAAAATGTTGAAAAGTTCAAAGTAAATTAATACTTTCACAAGGCACAGTACAGCAGGGTCTATGTTCTTATAAACTGATTTGGGACTTGACACAACAAACCCTCAGGCGATATACCAGCACAGAGCTGCTCTGTCCATGATGCCCCGATTTTTTATTTTTGCGATCCACCCAGAACATCGCCGCGGGGTGCAGCAGGAGCCGATCCGGGGCTTCAATCAATTCGACAAATTAAATCCAAGCGGAGGTTGTGACTGAACTTTTCAACCATCTGCTTTTATTTGTTTTGCTGGTGTGCATAGCACATCTTATGGAACATTTCAAATTAGCATTCACGGGAACGTTCAGATTAGCCTCCAGGCTTAAATCTGGCTGTCCGCATGTTTTGGGTGAGAAGCCCAGTGAGAACAAAACGCATTAGAGTCGGAGACAACATGAAGTTTTCTCAAGCTCGTTGACATTCAGGGCACTTTGTGTTTGCATCAAAGCTGAACTCAGACCAATAAATCTGCTCTCCTCTCTGACCATAAGCTTGTTAACCTTTGAGGGTTTGCTTAAAAAAAAAAAAACAGCCTGAAATTGCAAAGCGGGTCTGGATTGTCTGTCGTATGCTGCCTCGTTCTGTTCTCGGATTTAATTTCCGAGTCTGATGTCTGATCTGCACCTCTCAGTTTTTAGCAATGAGCAGCACTTTGTTGAGATTACGGCTAAAAAACCCACTGAAATATCTCTGGGAAAACAGTGTTAAACTGGATGGGTAAACCAGGTTTTACATTACAACAGAGAGAGAATGTTTACGCACGCATGGGTCGATGCTAAAGCATGAGCACACGTTTCAGTGATTTATTTAGGATTTTTAAATAGACAAACACAAAGTGGTGCTTAAAAGTGAACAAGAATGTATTTAACATTGCACAAAAAATTCTGTAAAGTGTGGTGTGTTTATGAATTCAGTCCGCTTGCGTGAATATCTTGTAGAACCTCCCTTCACTGCTGCCTATTTAAGATCATTGTGCTGCTGGAAGGTGAAGCTCTGCCCCAGCCTGAAGTCTTCTGCAGCATCTTTCAGATTTTCTTCAAGGACTGCCCTTTATTTAGCTCAGTCCATCTTCCCATCTCCTCTGACCTGCTTCTCCACAGTGCGATGCTCTCAACAGCCTCTTATTCTTCTGTTGTTGTATGTCCAAGAGAATGTGCAATGTTAGAAAGTCTCATGTTGGCCTTGTCTGACAAGATGGCCTTCTCCCAACTTGAACGTCTGAGTACATCCTCTCAACATTGTTTTCATTCCTGCTCCTGTTTTGTAAAGGCTAGATTTGTGGTGTGCTTGAGCAACAGTTGCCCTGGTAACGGATTAGCCCACCTGAGCTGTGGATCTCTCCAGCTTCTCCACAGTTGCTATGAGCCTCAGCTGCTCTTTGACTATAGCTGTCATTGCCCCACTTTAAGCCTCACAACTTTCTGCTTGACCTGTTGACCTTCACCTGTCTGTTGTGATCTTTGGTCTTTGCTGACACTGTTATTGAATTAATGTTCTCTAACAGACACGAGGCCATTTATACTGATGTTAAATGCAGCAAAGGTGGACACCATTTACAACTTTTGTGACTTTTGAAAGCAATTCGTTGCACAAATTTAGAGATTTCTTTTAATAAAACATTTAAAAAGCCGTCCGTCCGTCTATCTATTGTCTTGCATTTTATCTGGGGTTGGGTTGCAGGGGGCAGCAGCTTGAGCAGAGAGACCCAGACGTCCCTCTCTCCAGCTCCTTCGGGGGAATCCCAAGGCGTTCCCAGGCCAGCTGAGAGAAACAGTCCCCACAGCTTGTTCTGGGTCTTCCTCCTCCTCCTGAAGGTGGAAGATAAAGTACAAATAACTTTGTAGTAATCAGTG